ATATGAAGGAGGAAAAAAAACGCAGGTCGATATCCTTCTGCATTTTCAAAATACGAGTAGTCCAACCGCCTTGCCGCTTGAGACGTAGACGTAAGACGAACCACACTTCAAACATGTTTAAAAATTAACAGTTATAAGCCACACCAGTACAAAAACTACAAGAACCGGATTTTAACTTAAGACTCGAACTTTGTTCAAAATATAATATGGACGGATAAATCAATATTTACAACGTCCGCGGTGTTGTTTAATAGAAAAAATCAACAATCACGCTTTAAACATAACTCGAGTTCTGAAGATGATCGCTAATAAGTTCGAAACGCTGCACCACAGACTCATACCCACATATCGTTGAATTTCTGTTTCAAAGCACTATCCAAAGATGTAGTAGAATGTTAGGTGTTCTATTTAAAAAAAATGTAGCTTGTTTTACCACCCTGTATATAAAAAAGTGACGATTAGGAAAATGAAAAAAAAGGTCATTTTTTATTTACGTTTTTTTGTAACTCCTGTAGGTTTCGAGATAAAGTATAGGCCCCTCTTGATATGACATACCCCAAGTGTGAGAGAGACAACCAACGCGACTATACAATGAACTGTATCGAACTTAGGGAACTTGAGGACAACAAATGAATCGAATATATGACTAAAGAACCACCCAATTTGTGATTCTAGTCTTTCTTCGTATGGTCTCTCGCCAACATGAGCATCTGCTCGTGGTGTAATTGTCAGATCAGTGGAAAGTCACATAAATTAGATATGTTGCATCCGAATCCGAAACAATTTTTAACCGTCAAATTACCACCTTGCAGATCTGTTATGTCGGTAACAAGTTACGCCCGCTTGTTTGTCGACCAGAGCATCATTGAATATCCTCTCTGAATAAAAGTACAAGAATGCAGACCAGATGCAGTTTTAAGACAGTCTTTACAGTGTTTCGCATCGAGGTTCTTCGGTATTGGTATAAACGTTGCTTTTTGCTCTGTTATTTCCGGTTCATCATCCAGCCTGACATCGCGCAATGTATTACGGTTGTCTTTAAAAAGATTTTCGATATAATCAATCCATTCTGTTAAATCTTTCATTCTTGATGTTAAGATAGTATTTTGCTCATTCATTAATAAATATTGTACATTAGATCCAACATTTTTGATGCATCAGTCTCTTTTAATAATGCATGTTTTTTTGGATCTTATTAGTTTTCGAGTATCTAAGAGTTGATTTTTATACCTTCTGTCGATGTTTGTATAATCTATTTAGTTTTTAATTTTCTGCCAGTATTTGAAGTCCAAGTGTAAATGCGTCGTCGACGGTGTTTAAAATAAGTATTTGTTATAATTCTGCAGAATTGCACTAGCATATTCCCCTTTCTCACAACAACATTAACTAAGGGTTTGTTGTCATTTTTCGGTATATACAGCAGCAGGTAGTTTGTAAATATTACATTTGATAAAGACACGGTGTTGTCGAAACAATTGTCATGTCAAAATATATAATTTCGTGAAAATCTGAACTTTTGGTTCTTTTTTATTTTGTTAAATGGTTTTTCATCAAGTAAAAGCCACCTCAGTTCAATGGCTGGAAGTTATTTCGTCTTCTTCTCCTACTGTCTAGGAAAGTTTTCCTGTCTAGTCTCTCACTGTGGTCTTCGGCCTGTGGCTCCATACGTTCCGCTTGTTCATTCCAAGCTTTTGGTGTATTCGTTGTCTATTTTTAGACGTCATAGGCATCTCTCTCTCTCTCTCTCTCTCTTACGTCATCACTAGTTTGTCTGTCTCTCATCGTAATTCCCAATATTTCACGTGTGCAAAACGTCCGCATTAACTAACAGCAAGCAGAAAATTGTATTTTTTATAGGTCTTCGCTTGACTAAGATACATCAATGATAGAATTTTTCAATTTCCTATCTTTTCTTAGTCTTAGTCTAATAGTCTAATTCTTGAGGCTATTTAAAATTTCTCCGAAAAATCGAAATAAAGTCACCATCGCGTGGCGCGCCGGGCATAGTCTGTTCATAGATATAAGAAAGTGACCAATGCAACAAGATTATTACGTAAAGTTTCGCAATTTAAATTCAGGTAAAATTGTGATAAATTCCGTTTCAGCGAGGAAAAAAAGAAGCGATGCGGACATTTTCTCGAGAAAAAATTAGGATTTACAGAGAACAACAAAGGCAATTTTTTAATTGGATGAAACCTGGTTCGACACTTATGATACCGCGGAAAAGGGTTGGGTTGACTCAACTAACAAGTGTAAAACAAACGCGCCATCAAAAAGAGGTAAAAGGATAACTATTTTGCATGCTGGCTCTAAACATGGTTGGATTCCAAATGGACTTTCTCTGTCTGCGAAAAATATTAAAGATTCTTCTCTGGATTGCCATGAAGACACCACCGCTGATTTATTTGAAAGTTGGTTTAAAAACAAACTAGTTCCAAACATTCCTCCTAATAGCGTAATTGTAACGGACAATGCAAGTTAACACAGTAGACAGTTGACTAAAACCTCTTCCTCATGTGACACAAAAGTAACAATCCTAAAATATAACGGAGATTATACCAAAAAGCAATTAATTGAGGTTCTACAAAGCTTGAACCTACAAAAGGAATACGTCTGTGATAATTATGCAAAAAATCTAGGGCATACAGTTTTAAGGATTGTATATTTAATCCCATTGAACATGTTTGGTACCAACTGAAATCTGCCATTCGTCGTAACAATATATCGTAACTTATAGAAACCGAAGTTTTTAACATCCCTCCACAAAGTCGGGCAAATTCTGTTAAACATATAGACAAAGCAGAACAATCGTATATCCATACCGCAAATAATATAGAACAAATAATAATCAGAACAGGCGATGATAGCGATAGTGATACTGATATATTATGTGAATAATTTTAAGTAATTTAAGTAGGTAATAATTTTTTTTTTAATTTTCTTTTAGATTTAAACATAAATACATAAATACTGTTTATTATCTTTCTTAACGAAACCGTAAATAATTAAATTCTAAGCAAAGTACTGTCATGTTTGGCCATATTTCATTCTTACAGCTTGCCCGTATCTTTCCCTAATTCGTATCAGTTAGTCACTTTCTTATATCTATGAACAGACTTTACAGATGATACCGCTGACCTACCGATTGACGTTTTTCGTCAATGTCGACCAATTGGATAAGCGACCGCTATTTGTCTGACCGCCGCCGTTCGAAAGGGCCGACACTGTGCCGGAATTCCTGCGTTCCTGGAGCACACTGAAACAGCGCTCCAAAACGGACAGCATGTCGTCGTCGTCGAGTGGTTTACGGGCGGAAAAAATATCGTGAGGAACTAAGAACATTCGCTTTACGAATCTGCTACATTTCCTAACCGCCAATCACACTGTCGACTTCTTCAGAGCTGGACTGAAACTGGCTCGTATTTTACTCTGTAGCTGCTTATGTATTGTTTGAGGGGGGCGGAGCTAAATTTGTCTGGGATGGTAAAACGTAAAGACCAGACCCTCTGTTAAGATTGTTTGATCGCTTATAGATTTCTATTTCTTTTTTTATAATTCGTGTACTCAGTTCATACTTTTCATACAGCGTGGAACTTGCTGACGTTCCGCCAATCATCCTGTTGGCCGCTTCAGAGCTTGGCCGAAACTGAAGAACCGAACGGGATGATTGGCGAAACGTCAGCAAGTTAAAAAAAATGACGCGGTTATATATATATATATATATATATATATATATATATATATATATATATATATATATATATATATATATATATATATATATATATATATATATGATGACACTATATTCCGGGATATCATCCGTTCGCTCGTTGAACTCCGACTGGAATCCTGCATCCGACTGGAATCCTGAGTGTTCGAAGTGTTTTCGGAGCGCGAGCATTGAAGATGCCAAGTGAGATTTTGGCGAAACGTCTGCAGGATTCCAGTCGGATGCAAGATTTGCAGGATTCCAGTCGGATGCAGGATTCCAGTCGGAGTTCAACGAGCGAACGGATGATATCCCGGAATATAGTGTCATCACATTTTTCCATCCGTGAATCAATACGTGAGAATATATATATATATATATATATATATATATATATATATATATATATATATATATATATATATATATATATATATATATATATATATATATATATATATATATATATATATATATATATATATATATATATATATATATATATATATATATATACGTTTAGATATATAAACAGGGACAGCGCAAAATACGAGCCAGTTTCAGTCAAGCTCTGAAGAAGCCAACAGGATGATCGGCAAGTTTGATTTATAAACCACCGAATCAGGAGGAATGCAAAAGATTTGTAAATAGTATTAAAGTGGCTTCTGAAATTTCTCATGTATCGAATCTTTTTTATTTAACTTGGAGTCGTCATCCTATTACGTTACGTTGCCACCAGGTGGAATTTTCTGACATAATCGCAAAAAAAATATTGAAAGAACGACTCCAAGTCTACTTAATTAATTACATTAAGGATAACAATTACGCCCCCTGTCGGTCATTTCTGCCACTACAGGGATTGCCGGCGTTTTCTCCTTTGGCAGGTATTTTTTTTCTATTACTGGGACATCCGGTATATTTCTATTTATTTGGTTATTTTGGTTTTTTGTACAATAATTAAATTATTTAACATAGTAATGTTTCCAGGGTTATTGAAATATCAGTGCAAACAAAATCCATTATAGTAGTGTCTTTTTGTTACTTCTGCATTCACCGTCCGCACTCTGGGAGGACGCAGAAGTACCGAAAAAACACTACTGATTATATAATAATAATAATGATTATGTATATCGCAGAAAAGCAATAGCCGACTAAATTCTGCAAATAAACTCGCACTATTTACCACGTACGCGTGACACTTATTTATGTACAACTCAGTGGGCTATAACGATTGCAATTTCAGTTCAGTCTCAGGCTCAAAATAAACGTTTTGCATAAATCTACTCACCCTGATCCTTGAGTATTTCTTCGATTTCGTGTTCGTCGGCTCCAAAGTCGGTCAGCAGCTTCTTGTGCGAGAATTCGGACTGATTTTTCAGGTAAAATTCCGGCTTGTGGCCAAACTGGGGCGCATAAAATATAACGCATTTTTTATTACACTAAGTTTCAAAAAAACCGTCTTAGCTTTTAAGGAAATACAGTAAAAATGCTCCGCAATTTTCAAAAAAGCTGTAAAGCTTTTAGAATTATTTCGAAAAAATTATGTACGTCAAAAAATTTCATAAATTAATTAAGAAATTCCAAAACAGAAAATTCCTCTCAATTTTCACATATTGTACTATCGCAAAAGTTTTAGATTTTTCCGAAAAGCGAATAAGAAAATCTGCATGTCGTAAAAAATATCTGTCGTAGGTTGCTGATTTAATGTAGTATTTGTAAAACAAGAAATTCTCCACTATTTTCGGAAAATTACCTTTCGCAAAAGCTCCAGATCTTTTAAAAATATTTAGAACATACTGTATAAGTGAAGAATATCGTTCATAAAAAATAATTTCATTAAGCGTTTTGAGGACAGAAGATTCTTTACAATTTTCATTTTTCAAAAGCTGGAAAACTTTTAGAAATATTTATAAAAAAATGTATTTGACAAAGAACATTTATCGTATGCCATAAGTTCATTAAACAATCATAAAAAAGAATATTCCTGACAAATTTTCTTACAAAAAAGCTCAAGAACTTTTAAAAATATTTATTAAAAAAATGTATATGACCAAAAAATTGCTCGTAGGTCATAATTTCGTTAAACATTCATAGAACGGAAAATTCTTTACGATTTTCCCATAATGAGATCGCGCAAATGTTTCGAAACTTTTAGAAATATTTACGAAAAACTTAAATAAAAAATTTTAAGCACAAGGCTACCCCAAAGGTTTCAGATTTTTCAGGAGAAAAAAATGCGTATCTCCAAAAATATCTGTTGTATGTTGATAATTTTAAGCAAAATTTGTAGAACGAGAAATTCCCGTAATTCTCCGCGTAATGAGCTTTAGCAAAAGCTCTGGATCGTATAGAAAAAACGTCATATCTCGATAAATCTCTGTCGGTGGTTAATAATTTTAATGAAAAATTTAGAGAACGACAAATTCCTCACGAATTTCGAATGGTGTGCTTTCGAAAAAGTTCCGGAGCTTTTAGAAATTTTTAGAAAAAACAGGAACCTAAGGAAAGCTCCAGAGCTCTCGAAAATATTTTTATATCTCGATATCTCGATAAATATCCTAACTAACGAAACTAACCTTATCTTTGGCATTGATGTCCGAACCCAAGTGCACCAGGAGGTTGTAGTAGTGCCCGTTGTCCCGTAGCACTGCGGCGTAGTGCAACGGAATCCGCCCGTTATCGTCTTCCATCAGTAGCGTCTCGGGAAAACGGCCGGCGAGGTAACGGACGACGCTGGTCCGGCCAAACGCGATGGCCACGTGAAGAGGCGTGGCGCCGCACGGAGACACGTGGTCGCGCGCTACCGCGAATTTGCGTCTGTCCAACGCGGCCTGGAGCTCCCGAAGGTTGCCTCGGTGCGCTGCCACGTGAATTGCGTGGATTTTCGACTGCGAAAAAGCGTTCGACGTTGGTAACTTTGTTAAAAGTTTCAAAAACAGTCAGGCATCATCACAACGGGATAAAAATTTATTTCAAAATCTTCAATATCTATTTATATATGTTTCTAAAAAAATTATCAGTATTAGTATCTCCAGTTTGGACATTGGACATTGCCCATGTCAAAAGATTTGCAGATGTTTGGCAAATATTCTTACTGGTTTATTCAGAAATTCTGACATATTCCTCAGAAATCCTGACTTGTTCTTCAAAAATTCGGACTTGTTCTCAGAATTTTTAATTCAAGTCAGTTATTCTGACATATTTCTCAGAAATCCTAACCTGTTCTTCATGAATTCAGACTTATTCTCAGAAATTTTGATTCAAGTGATAAATTCTGACTTGTCTTTCAGAAATTTTGAATTAAATCAGAAATTCTGTCATGTTTCTCGGAAATTTTATCTTGTTCTTCAGAATTTCTGACTTGTTTCTCAGAAATTTTGATTGAAGTCAGAAAGTCTAACATGTTTCTTATAAATTCTAACTTGGTCTTCAGAATTTCTGACTTGTTTCTCAGAAATTTTGATTGAAGTCAAGAAATTCTAACATGTTTCTCAGAAATTCTAACTAGTTCTTGTTCGTTTCTCAGAATTTTTGACTTTCGTCAGATACATATTCTTCGAAAATTTGTATTGAACCCATATTTTATTTTTGGTTTTTGTCGAGCTGTAAATCTAATTTTAATTTCTAAAGACCTAAGAAGTTATACCAGAAAATGATAGATTAGAGTGTAACACTAAAACCATATTTTATGTCCCAATTGGACAAAAATGTATCGGAATCTAAGAACAACTTTAACATGAACTAACTATAACTGGATAGTTGCAATTGTAAAAATATATAATATAATAAATATTCCCAAAGAAAAAAAAATCAGATAAATGAAAAATGACATATCGTTTCGCTTACCATATAAATCGGAACGTTATCCAAAAACGCCTGCAATTCCGGGTTATCGCTCTTCTGCCCGATAAGACTTTCCCCTTCCCCATTCAGCACCAGGGCCGCCAACTGCTCCATGTTGCCGGATTCTATCATCGTTTTAATCAGATCGCCGTCAGATCTCTTTCTTCCTTCCTTATTCATCGACTCTACTTCGTTTTCTCCGTTCACTACGCCTGCAAAACACACACACACCGATGGATGTTTCGAAGTCCCCGTCGCTATCCGCAGGTCCACCCCAGATCGTTCTCGATCTTCCATCCCTAAATTTCGTCAAAGGTCTCAAGGTAGGTAGTCTGGATGACTATCAACGATCTGAGGCGTACCAAAGAGCAAAACGAAAATTTAGAAGAAGAAGAAGACGAGCACAATGAACCAGAAAAAAGACAGTACAAAACGCGTGAGGTTAACTTGAAGCTCGCCTTTCAAGTCAAGAAAACAAGAGCGTCACAGGGTCTTCTTCACACATCGAACCAAAGCAAACTGCATTGCAATTCTTGCAATTGGAATCCCAAGTTCCTCTTGGCTGATTTATATATTCCAACATTTTCTATTTTTTCCTCCTCATCAATGGAGTCGTCTGTTTAAACTCCAAAAGGTGTCTAAAACGGTGTCGTGTAATGTATGATCGATGAGGTGGGGGAAGCAACACAGCACACAGAGCGGGAAACCTTAACGTAGATGTGGATTCGTTAATACTAATTGAAACTTCAAAGAGTTATAAAAGCGACAGCCCCACAAATCAAACGGTACACAACGAAAAACCCCCTCCAGTGCTGACCACACCACCAAGCTCGATAGTGACCCGGAAGCTGCACACTCGTTTGCCCGCAACACAAGTTTACCTTCAATTATCTTTTCACCTTCAACGTCTGGATCGTCTTCGGCACGTTCCTCACCCGTGCCGTCATTTTCTTCATCTCTATTTTCACCATCTGTCCTACTATTGGACCTCGTCAAAGATCCAGTCAGTTTTCGGGTGTCTGACTCTCTTTCTTGATCGCCGTTAATAATGCCTGTGCTAGGGCGGGTTTTAGCACGTTCCGGTTCCTGTTCAGGTTCCGGTTCTGGTTCCGGATCAGGTTCCTGTTCCGGTTCTTGTTCCGGTTCCGGTTCCGGTTCCTCTTCGGTTTCGTCAGCATCCGGTCCGGGTTCCCCTTCGACTTCCTCTTCTCCTTTCGGCTCTTCTTCGGGTTCATTGTTGGGTTCGTTCGTAGGTTCCGGTTCTTCATCGTTTCCGTTTTCAATTATTTCTTCGTCCGCCTGGTTCTCGGGTTCTCCCTGGCTTGGACCCGGTACTTCATCGTCCGGCTGAGTCGATAATATATCCGCTTCGTCTGGTTCCAAGGGTTCTTCCGGTTCCGCAGGTTCTTCCGGTTCCGCGGGATCTTCCGGTTTCGCGGCCTCTTCCGGTTCTTCAGCATCCGCTTCATCTTCAAATTGCCATGATTATGGCGGCAGAGATCGGCATTTTGTGGGTGTTTTGATTCCAATACAACCGCGAGTATAATTCAAACAGGTAAATAGTTTTGGCCTAACGATTGCTGTTAAAATATCACCAGTGGTATGGTTTAGGAGAAAAGGTAATACGCTAGACACATTTCAAGAAAAGCGTTTGTCTCGATATCAAACGAATTTTAAGAACGCTCTCTGCGAAGAGGTCAGACAGGGGTGCATCTTATCTCCAATGCTGACGACACTGTTTTGTGTGCGGTCTCTCTCGAGGATTTACAGAGACTACTGAACCAAGTAGTGAAAGCTAGCAAAGATTACGGTCTCAACATGAACCTCAACATGACCAAAATAATGGTGATAACAAAAAGGAAGCAAGCAACAGGTCAGCTTACAAAGATAATAATTATTGTAACAGTTGTGCAATATGTCCGGCCCTTTGAGCAATACAAGCCGTATAAATGGTTTTTAAATACATAATGGCATTTCTAACAAATTCGGGTTATATCTTCAAGGGTCTCTGCAAAATGCAACATAATATTAAGTTGCTCTTCAGTATTCAAAATATGACGACGTCTATTTTTTCTTTCTTCAAAGTTTCATATATTCTAAAGTGTTGGCAAATCCCGTCGGAGAAAGATCTTTTTTTCTGGGCTCCTTCTTAATGTAAATTTTTTAGCCAGGGACCGGTTTTTATTGTACGATATGTAACTTTCTAATATATGAATCTTTTTCTCTGTGGTAAACGTAATGCGCAAGCCGCATTCTAGCACTTGTTTTGTTTAAACGCCGTCATAGCCACCTTACACTAACTGAACTTATATGGCAACAGCATATTATTTGTGACCAACGTTTAAAAGGAATTAAATTAAATGAAAATTGCCTTAATTTTTTATGCTAAATATAACAAGATTATAAAAATGGGTAGTTTTCGTTGAAAAAAAAAAAGAATTTTGGCAGTATTTTTTTTTTGAGTACCCTGTATTAATATGTGTCAAAATTTCTTATGAAATCTGTTATTCGAGTCCTTCGTCTACGACAAAACTGACTCAAGTGAAACAAACAATCAATGATTCCGAATGAAGAAATTGACAGATATTTGAAGTTTTGCGTAAAAAATTAAAAATGACAAAAACGGTTAGACTTAGGTATAGGACATTGTACACAAAATATGTCTAGAATTCGAAATAAGAAAGTTGATACTCGCCCGCAAAAAATGAAACACCTCGTATATACAACTATGAAATAAATGGAAACTCGTACCAAGCGGAATCAAATCGGCCCATAAGATATAGCAAAAAAGAAACACTTTTTTTTCAAAAAGACGAAACCACGATGTACATTAAATAAAAGTTATTTAAAAAAAATAACTTCGGTGAGAATTCCTATTTATTTATTTTATTATTTACGTCTTTTATCTATGGTGTGTGGACAAAAAAAGTCGTTACGCACGGGTAGTTTTATAGCAGTTAATAAACCAAAACCATTTATCTGCGAAAGTACTATACACCACGTTCGCTTTTATTTCCCATTATTTTCGTTTTCATGGCGCATTTAATTTTTTTAATTTTATTATTCAAATTATTGCGACATCGCAAAGACGCTAAAAGTTTTCGAAATTTCCAAACGCAAACGGCAGTTTTTGGAAAATTCAAATTTCGAAAAGTGTTCGAAATGCCTTACCTCGGATGGTCTTCGATTTGGACACGACGGAGTCCTGCTTCCTCAGCTGACCTTTCGACCTTCGACCGTCCCCGCCCCCCGCCGGCGTCTCTTCCCGCGTTTCCCGTTTGTTTGTTTCCGTCGCGACGCCATCGACGTCGGTCACGTTGTCGTTGACGTCTTTGGCGACGCCGTTGGTCGACGACATGGCGCTGCCCAACGCGTGCCAGTCCACCTGGGACGCGAGCTCGGGCTTCGCCCCCCTGGGGCATTCCGGCACCACGTTCAGGAGTTTCGAGTCGATCTCGTTGGTGCGGGTGCGATAGTACGCCGCCGCCTTTTGCCGCTGACACATAGAAAGAGAGAAAAATACAGAAAACGGACGCCACTGGACCACCGTGGATGTCATTGATACGAACAACTATAAGCACGCAACATAGTAGGCCTTTTGAAGCTGAAACAGAGAAAGAAAGAAAGATATAAAAAAGAATTTCGCTGTTACGAAACAACGATAACACGCAACATAGGCCGCCGCGTTTTTAAGCTCAAAGAGAGAGACAGACAGAGAAAAAGATAAAGCAAAATACTGAAAACGAAGGCCGCGGTACCACCGAGAAGGTCATTGATACCGAAAAACTGAGAGATAGCGAGAAAGAGATGGAAAAAAAAGGACGCCACTGTACGACTAGGAATTTCACCGTTAAGGAACAACTATAACCACAAAACATAGTAGGCCTTTTGAAGATGAAAGAGAGAGGGAGAAAAAAAGAAAGATAAAAAAATGGGACGCCACTGTACGTCCAAGAATTTCGCTGTTACGAAGCAACGATCACACGCACATAGTAGGCCGCCGCGTTTTAAAGCTCAAAGAGAGATACGGGCGGAGAGAAAGAGCAAAAAAAAAGAGAAATACCGAAAACGAAGGCCACTGTACCACCGTTAATATCATTGATACGGAAAAACTGAGAGAAAGAAAAAAAAAAGAAAGATAAAAAAACGGACGCCACTGTACGACCAAGAATTTCGCTGTTACGAAACAACGATCACACGCACATAGTAGGCCGCCGCGTTTTAAAGCTCAAAGAGAGATACGGGCGGAGAGAAAGAGAAAAATAAAGAGAAATACTGAAAACGAAAGCCACTGTACCGCCGTTAATATCATTGATACGGAAAAACTGAGAGAAAGAAAAAAAAGAAAGATAAAAAAATGGGACGCCACTGTACGTCCAAGAATTTCGCTGTTACGAAACAACGATCACACGCAACATAGTAGGCCGCCGCGTTTTAAAGCTCAAAGAGAGATACGGGCGGAGAGAAAGAAAAAAATAAAGAGAAATACCGAAAACGAAAGCCATTGTACCACCGTTAATATCATTGATACGGAAAAACTGAGAGAAAGAAAAAAAAAAGAAAGATAAAAAAACGGACGCCACTGTACGACCAAGAATTTCGCTGTTACGAAACAACGATCACACGCAACATAGTAGGCCGCCGCGTTTTAAAGCTCAAAGAGAGATACGGGCGGAGAGAAAGAGAAAAATAAAGAGAAATACCGAAAACGAAACCCACTGTACCACCGTTAATATCATTGATACGGAAAAACTGAGAGAAAGAAAAAAAAAAAGAAAGATAAAAAAACGGACGCCACTGTACGGCAAGGAATTTCGCTGTTACGGAACGACTATAACCGCACAAAACGGTAGGCCTTTCGATACTGAAGGAGAGAGAGATAGAGAGAAAGAAAGAAAGACAAAAATACGGACGTCACTGTGCGACACAACGATACACGCAACATCGTAGGCCGCCGGATTTTGAAGCTCAAAGAGAGAGAAAGAGAGACGGAGATAAAGAGAACCTATAACCACTATAGCCGAATTTCAACCATAACGAAGACACAAAATTGCTCTCCATTTGCAGGTAAAAGTATACTTATGACACTACTGCATTCCTTTATAGATCTTCATGGTGGTTGTCTTATTATTAATTCAAAAATCATATGTCAACTTCAACAATTCCAGGAGGTTAATTTACTTCTAATAGCCAAGACTACATAAGGTCATTCGGCCGGCAGGTAACGATTCCTAAAGGACGCCTTCGTAATGAAAGGGTCTGGACTACTCCATCATCCTCCTAACTTTAATTATTGCTGGGTATCGCACTGTACTACGCTCTTCACTGTCACTATACTAACTCGAGTCTCCTAGTTAGGAGGTGGATAGCTTCGATGTCGACATATTGAAGAAGCCTTCGCCAATGACTTCTGGAGAATTTTGGTAACGGTCTGATTGACGATACTTCTCCTTTGGAACCTTTGGAATGTCGGAAGTCCAAACGTACATGAGTAAGTTGACTTTTTTCTCAGATTTCCCAGCGAAGATTCATACCCAAGTATTGCCCATTATTGCGATTGTATTATGTTCTACAGTAGGGATGTCGCTAGTATGGAGCGGGTAAAGTACTTTGATTTCTTCTACGTCAGAATAAACATCTACGTTAGAAGTTGCGAATATTCTGGAGGGAGAGTTATTTTTCATATTATGAATCAAAAGAATATAAATATTATGGGCTTCTAGTACAGATTTTTTGCCTTTTGAGTATTAGTTTTTCATGTAATTTCGATATAGTAGGTCTATACGACGAAACACCTTGAGGTGGTTTCATACCTCATCTTGAATGAGGCGTTCATAAGATTGGTCAGATTGTTTTAGGATTAGGCGTTCTTTTAGGATCAGCATTGATCAGTTTCTCCTGTCTTGGTTCAGTCCAATCTAGGAGGTCTCCTCCTTCATTTGGCCGATAAGCCATCTGCAGGTTTTTTACAAATCTGGAATCTCTGAGTTTATCCGGTCATGGGCCCAACAAGCCCCAAAGGTGAGGTTAGGTGAAAAACTTATGAGATACAAACAACTTACGTTGTCCAAGACTGCCTCGCTGGCCCCGTTTTCCAACAAGAAATTAAACATTTTGTTGTCATCTTTGAGTAACGCGGCGTAGTGGAGGGGGGTGCGACCGTCGTTGTCCGCCGCGTTCACGCTGCCGGGAAGGGTTTTTATGATGTACCTGGCTATCTCTTGCCTACCCAGTCCTGCGGCCTAAAATAAGTGAGAGAGCTACGGTTCAAATTTTGATTTATAAACAACTCAGAAAGCTTCCGATCCCTGCCTAATTTTTAATGCACACAAGTTTTTTGGACTCTCTTGAAGATTTAAAATATTATACGGGGTGTGTCAAAAGTGTCCACCGACATCGATTTTGCCTAGTTTAGGCAAAAATTAAGGTTATGTGTTTTTTTTTTCATATTTTGATTGCCCGGTATAAAATTGTGTTGTGACGCTACTCATTCAGGTCTAAGGAGACGATCAGTTCGACAGATTATACAGGGTGTCCCAAATAAGTGGTGCCGTTTTGGCGAACACACTATACAAAAAACAAAAAAAATTTGTTGGGGCTGTCGATGACAATAGTTTTGTTTTGGCTGAGTTTTTGAACTTTAGAAGAGTTTTTGAGACCGTCGATAGGGATATTTTAATAACTAAGCTAGAAAATATGGGTATAAAGCACTTAGCCCTGGATTGGCTAAAATCTTACTTATCTGGCCGAACACAAAAAGTAAAGTATGAGACATCTGTGTCTGAGCCTATCTTGGGGGATCATGGGGTACCATAGGGGACTGTTTTGGGGCCATTATTGCTCTTCTGTATATTAATGATCTAGCTCGATATGTGAAAAACAGCAAAATTACATTATTTGCCGACGATACCATGATAAGGGTCGTCGAAGAAATGCAGCAAGATATCAATGATGACCTGTATCGAGTGTTTGCATGGGTGTGCAATAAAAATACAAAACAGAGCAATGTGCACAATTCTAAAATGTAATAGAAATACACCCGCGATGACTATGTTAAATGTGTTACAAATATTAACTGTAAAGCCGAAAGTAATGTTTGATGCCTTTATATTTATATTTAAGATAAAAAATAAAATGATGTCGCCATAAGTTGGTAATACGGTTAATTACTTTAAGAATGTTCATGACTGTAACACTAGAAACCGTACTGATTTCATCTTGTTAAAGTTGGCTGCCAAAAAGATTAAGGAGCGTGATAATTTAAATGCTTTTAAAAGATTAATTAAAACTTACGTATTGTCAGAAATTTTAATCTGATTTTTCTTTTATAATTGTTTCTGCTGTTATAGACTTTCGTTTTGTGCGCTTTTGTACTTTTATACCTATTTAAATTTTCCTATTTTGCTACTGGTTCGTATCTTTAAAATGTAAATACGATTGTTTTCTGTTATAATTTAATAAAATTTATATATTTTCATATTATTCTTTCTCACACCCTGTTAACATAAAAAATAAAACGAAAAGCTCACCGACGTTTCTAAACGAATTACGCTTTTTAAAAAAAAGTTTTTAATCAAAATCGGTAAAATTTCTGCTCAGATTTCGCATAAGTAGACGAATAAAGAGGGTTCCGGAGCGTATAACTTCAAATATAACACCCATGTTGGAAACATTTTTATTTATATACTCTCATACCTTGTGTAGGGGGGTCAGGCCGTTGTGATCCTTGGCTGAGAGGACCGCCAAGGGGACGGAAGATGGTACGCGACTTTTCAAACCCTCCAAATCGTCGTTCTGTACGTCGCAGTGGATCTCCTTGATTAGACCCTGCAAGTTACGCCTCTTGTAATTTGTTTTTGTGAGCTCCTAAGAGATTCGGAATGTTTACATTTCATGGTAGTTATTATTGTTCAGTTAAAAGTTGGCGCTCTTACATAGGAGTTTAAAACTGACACTCCTTCTAAAGCACATTTTTCAAAGAATATAAACTCAATACACATTTTTCCCAAGATATCTTCATTTATCTTGGTACCTTTAAAACATTTATTTAATATTTTGACGAGAACGGACATAAATAAAGGATATATTGTAGAACTGGACTGAGGGGGCTTTTGCTTGATTGATAATCCATTTAACACCATTAAATTAGAACAAAAAATCTTCAGATTTTCACAGTTTTTAATGATTTATGACAGCTGTTTCGGCATCGTGATAAAGGCACGGCGTTGTCTGTTGTTGTTTTGTTCTAATTTGCTTGTGATATGGCTCTACACAAGATGTGCAGGAATCCACAGAGTGTAGGGAAGACCCAAAATACCTTGTCAGAACCATTTCTGGTGACAAAGGGTCTTAAACCTTGTTTAAAATTTTTATACAAGAAATACTTATTTCTCAAAATGTTTGCATACACCTGCCTTCAGATCCGTAATCGGACTTCAAAACAAACTATGTTTGGTCAACATGTGATGATTATATGTTATATAATAGAAACTAGATTAAATTTCTTGATCCACCTTACTTGACAAATATTTACCATGATGTCCCTTTATAAAAAACGATTTGATCACTTTGAGATATGGAGTATTTTTGGAACTAGCAACCAAAAAGTAAAGAAAATATTCATCGTTTAGCTCTCAACGCAGATTGGTTAGTCAAGTGAGCTGGAAAGTTGGTTAGTTTGGGTAAGGTTGGGTTCGAAGTTAGTTACGTGTGAAACCGTTGCTTTTGGGAGGAAAAAACTTCAAAGAAAATCGATTATTTTTGCCAGCAATTCAAGCAACTGCTATATAGTTGTTGTTGTATGTTTTGCAGGTAACAGCGGTAAAAGTGTCATAGTTATTGTTCATTTAAATAAAAGTTTAAATTTAAAAAACATATATTCGCGTCGCACACCTAGAAATATTGAAGTTCAAAATAAATAGTAACTAAAAGTTCAGATTTTCACGAAATTATATATTTTGACATGACCATTGTTTGGACAACACCGTGTCTTTATCAAATGTAATATTTACACCTGCTATCTGCTACTATATATACCGAAAAATGCCAATAAAATCTTAATTAAGGTTTTTATGAGGATTTAAGTTTAATAATGGAGAGGTATGGATATGGGTTTTGCTATGTATGTAATTGTTTTAAATTGATCGTATTCTTTATTAGGTTTCGGATAAATAGAGTTTACTGTTGTCTGGATTTGTTTTTTATTTATACTTTTATCTATAACGGACGGATTGTTCAATGCAATTTGTTCAATGATATTAATTTCTTTGTTGTAATGTTCCGTTGAGAGTGGCGTATTAAGAAGTCTGTGTATAAAAGAGTGATTGAACAGGATAACTCAATTAATTTTTTGGACTTAACTATTACGAAAACGTAAAACAAATTAGATTTTTCCATTTGTCATAAACCTTCACACACGGACACAGTCATACATAACAGCTCAAATCACCCTTATACACACAAAATGGCTGCATTTCACTCTTTTATACACAGACTTCTTAATACGCCACTCTCAACAGAAAATTACAACAAAGAACTTGATATTATTAAACAAATTGCATTGAAAAACGCCTACAATCTGTTCATTATAGATAAAATTATAAATAAAAAACAAATCGAGGCAACAGTAAACTCTATTTATACGAAACCTAATACAGAATACGACCAATTTAAAACAATTACATACATAGGAGAACCTAGTGAAAAAGTTTCAAAACATTTGCCAAAATGTGGTTTAAAAATAGCTTTCAGAACTAACAACACAATAGGAGAATTTTTCAAAAACAATAAATCGAAGTGTCCCAAAATCTCAAAAATCAGGTGTCTACAGGTTGAAATGCGGATCTTGTCCTAAAATTTATATTTGACAACCAGGTAGATCCTTCAAGAAACGCATTAACGAACATAAAAGGGCGTTTAAAAACAATAGTCTAGATTCTAATTATGCTACACACTTAAACACAGAAAAACACGTTTTTGACGACAATTTTGATATTTGACATACAGCCACAAAAAGTAGAAAATTAAATTTATTGGAAGCCATGGAGATTAACAAAATGAGACATTGCTTAATTTTATTTAATTACCTCTCCTTTATTAAACTTAAATTCTCACAACTTTAATTAAGGTTTTACTAAACTAACTACTACTACTAAATATATAATTTCGTGAAAATCTGAATTTTTAGTTCTTATTTATTTTGATAAATGGATTTTCATCAAGTAAAAGCCAGTTCAATATTCACGTCGTTTATTAGCTTAACGTAGTTTATAATATTCGGTACCAAATATTTAAAAACACGTCAATAAGACGTGAAATATAACTTAAAAAACATTAATTAACATATTTTTTCTACCACTTTTCCAGGCACGACAATCAATCAGCCCACCGATAAATGAAAAGTGGCCCCTCTGGCGCATCACTCCTTCAATAGGAAACACTGACGATCGATCCGCGTTTTGTATACACAACGGAAACACCATTAAAAGAACTGTTTGGAGTATACCCGTCAATATTATTAGACGCGGGTAAGTGAAAAGCAAGGGTTATTATTTTAGGTCTTATAATGGAGAGCAGCGAATCAATCAGAACAATAGCCCGACACCTAATAAATCGTGTTCCCGTGTGCCTTTTTCGAATTTTTATTAAATTCCACCATTTTTATACAGGATAATTAATATTACAGGATGCGTCAACGATAGAGAAAAGTTTATATAATCTGATTGGTTTCGAAAGTTACGAGAACATAGTAAATTGAAAAATATAGTCAATAAAAATTAAAATAATACCAAAAAATTCGGAAAATGAAAAAAAAAAGTATCATACCGTATGAAGTTAAATTTTGCCTGGAGTAAACAAATAAATAAACCATCAGAGCCAAAATTGCAACTGATACTACGAGAAAATGATCCCTCGCCTGTATTAATAACATAATTGCTTTCGAAAAATAGTCGCTGGGCGGGGCGAACCGCTAGGGAAATTTCGCAAAATCGATGTAATTTTATTGTGCATGCACCCTGCATAAAATGTCCTACACATCTCGTAGAACTTCAAAGTTACAGCAAACATTGGTAAATATTAAAATTTGCACAAATAATAGCGATGTCGAATAATATTTTTTCAAATATCTCGCGCCCTGTATAATTGACGAAACCTGAAACTCTCTCACGACACTGTTCAAATAAAATTATCCCATCTTTAACGGTTTTTCATTTATCGCCGATAATTTACCCACAAAAATGGAAATTTTTATGATATTTCACATATTTTGCCCATAAACGACACACCCTGTATATGATCAGAGGTTATTATTTATTATTATTTTCGATAAAATAAGTTTTTTCTGAAACCATACTTTGGAAAATTACAGTTTTCAGGGTCGTTTAGATTTTTGCCTATAATTGAAAAACCCTGTGTATAAAAGTTTTTGAGAAAATAACTTCTTCTGGAAGCCAAAATAACCCAAAAAAATATTACAAATTTTTGATTGAAATATATTGCACACGCATTGATTGCGGTCTTAGGGGAAACCCACGAATCCAATGATGATAGATGCTATTTAATTGCACCCAGATTTGCTCAAGGGATATTAACCCACTTTCTTTGCCGCATAATTGAAAAATGTTTTATTTAAACTCATTTCATGTTCATTTTTTTGTTAATACGTTTTCAATTTGTTATGATGGTATCGGTGTATTCATCTATGAATAAAAACCTTTTATAGGTAATTTGCAGAGTTAAAAGAAGAATGGGCTTAATTATAAAGAAATACTTCTGTTTTTATTTAAAATAACATTGTCCATAATGTTTCCATACAGTAAAAATATATTTGCAATTTTTTATTCAATTTGATGCGTATTATTCAGTTCGCTTCATTTCAGATGTTTCATCGACCACATCTATGTTTGATGTTGAATGACGAAGCTGTTTTAAAAAACCAAACATTTCTGTAACTAATTGTCTTTTTCGACTTAACTTCGGGCTTGTGGCGAGAAAAACAAACATGGAGACAAAGTTAAGTAATCACCAAGACTCGAGGTTCGAAAAAAAACGAAGACTAAGTTTCAAATAGTACGGGATCGCACAGGATCTGCTGTTGGGCGTTTGGCGAGAAAAAAAAATACGTAGAGCTGATATACGAGGGCGAGGTGAAAAGTTTCCTGCTTGACCAAGAGGTGGCGCCACTAGGTCTACTTTTGGAGCGCCGCCCTACAGTACCGTTTCAACCGAGTTTGTATGTTTAATTTTACTACGTTTGAGGTATAAAACGTGTAGCAGGTTATAAATGGTAAAGAATCATGGATATATGACTATGTCGGTATATCAAGGTTTCGCTTACTGTTTTCTTTGATTATCGTGTCATAGTTCATCAAGAGTTCTTAGCACAAGGTCGTACCTTGAAGTTATGGCCCCATGCGACTTTTTCCTATTACCAAAACTCAAGAAAAATCGCTGAAAGAACTCAAGGGTATAGCAGAAGTGCTCGAGCATTGGAAACTACAACATTAATGTTGATAAATCAATAAATAATAAATACTTTTCGATAAAACTTAAAAAGTCGCGCTTGATTTGTGTTATTTTCCATAACCAAGTTGTCCAAAATCTACTGTTAACATTTTTTTTAAGCACAAACAATTTTCACAGTTGTTTATTGATTTATGACAGTTGTTTCGACAACACCGTGCCTCTATCGAATTCAATTTCTTTTTTCTTTTTCATTTTTCTTTTTTTTTATATAAGACTGCGAAATAAATAAATACTTTTCGATAAAACTTCAAAACCACTTTACTTTTCGAACGCACCTCGTAGAGCATCACTGCAAATTAAACTCATTGGGCGAAGAAAAAAATTCCGTCTCATCACGATAAGGCCCTTTCACTTTGCACTCACCATCGTGTGCGGTACCGCCTCCAAGAACTTCTTCACCTTCTGGTTGTTGCTGTGCTCCACGAGAAGCTGAGGGCCGCATCCTTCCCAGACGACGTGCTGTAGGTTCTCGAGGTTCCGTTGGTGGATCCATATGCGGATCATAGACTTCTTGAAGCCGAGGCCGGTTTGCGTGGTCTCTTTCATGTTGAACGCTTTGAAGACTGGTGAAGAACGACTATATTAATTATCTAGCGCGCCATGGCGGCGGGATCGATCAGCGGCGCGGAACGGAGGGTTTTTTTTTTCTTTCGTCGTATCGATTCGCCCCGTTTGTTATTTAAAAACTATATTCGTGTTGTCCGATAATAATGAGCAATAAAAAAAAGGCCCCGAGGACGAAGCCTTTATAGGGGACCACGATTACAGAGACGCGCGTTAAAAAAAAGCGATAAGGGCGCGTCCATGGGCAATGAACCCCCTTCCCCGCTCCCAAAGAAAAATTATAATATTTTTATATTTATATATAATATAATAAAAATATGAACACTTTTTTTTCGAAAAACCGAAAAACAAAATGCCGAAAAAATACCGTGAGGTTTGAGGGAAAACGTAAAATTGGGGCAAGGCGGCTACCCTCGGGGCCATTATAATGATAAATTCTGGTTATTTGTAATAACTTGTAAATTAAAATAAATAATGTCACAGTAGTAGAAGAAAATAACTGTTCCCGTTTATGAAAAAATATTGTAAATGGTCGTCAAAGAGAAACTGCTTGCATTCTGCGATAACAATGTCATTTTAGTATCCAATCAGCCTGGTTTCCGTCATCAACATTCGTCTGAGTCTGTGATAGTAATAAGCTTATTTTGGATAGGTTCTTGGATTTTAGGAGAGCTTTCGAAACTACTGAGAGGTTTACGTCGTTAAGACATATAAAATACCTAAGCATACGAGGTTCAGTTTTAAATTGGTTCAGATCTTATTTGCATAACAGAACCCAAAAAGTTAGGCCTCCATTATACCTATTGTATATTCATTACATAGTTAAGATAATTAACGATAGCAAAATCGAATTATTCGCAGATGATACAATATTATACATAGCTGGTAGTGACATGATCAGATGAAACGAAGTATTAACAGTCATTTGAACCGAATATATGAATGGTTATGTAAACACAAACTTAATATTAACACGTCAAAGTCTAAATTTTGTATTTTTGGGAAAAAACAAAAAAAATGAGTACTGTTAATATAGAAAACATAAAAATTGAAATAAATAATGACATGTATATGTAGAATAGGCCATAGTCTTTCCATGTACACCAAATACCTTTTATATAACAGCATTGCGGCGCCTCATCTCAAATTTTGCTCCACACTCCTGTATAACTTACCGAACTATAAGATAAATCAGTGTCAATTTATTTATTTTCTATCTTATGGTCTTAAATTTGGTTATCTCCTTCGTGTTTTTCGTCGCCTAACAAGAACCATCCAATTCATTTTTTTTATAGACGACGCAAAAAGTGAAAGTACGTTTTTTTAATAAATAAATAAATAAAAAATTCGAATTTAAATGATCGTTCAATACCTCGTGGCGGATTGCTATGCACGTAGACTCCATTGAATCCGCTCGCGGGGGCCGCCCTTTTTCTTAAAACTGGCATCTTGGGGACAGCATCCCGCTATCCGACTCGCGCGGCACTCCGCCAGGACTACATTACCTGCGCACAAACAACAGAATGACTTCCACAGGCTACTGTAATACTTTTTACAAAACTTCCGGATTCGCTAATCTACCTGTTTGCTTATTAACTGAAATTCGGAATGCAGGAGAAATCCAGAAGTTTTGAAAAAAGTAGTACACAATAGGTATAAGAACGTGATACATAACGTATAAAAACAAACAGGAATAAGAAAGAAAAAAAGGAAAATATCGAACACAACCAAACACTGGCCACTATCAAGATTCGGGTGATCAGGTAATATCCTTTATCTTCTGTTTGTATTCGTCTACAGAAATAAAAACAGTGCTCCGAAAATTTTGGTTTTAAAATTTTTAAATAGCAAGTTTGTGACTTGATTCAGAATTAAGTGGTATAAACTCAGATCGAGAGAATTATTCATGTTTTTAGTGTATTTAAACTTCCTAATTCGAAGCAAATTTGAGGAGGAAGTGGGGTATTTATGATTGTCTGAGTGAACAAAAAACATATTTTTTGAGTTATGAATGTCTAATACCGTGTGATACTTGCATGCCGATGGCAGTGGCGTAACCCCAAGATTCTGTAACAGCGGTTGACATTAGTCTCTATATCTTGCGTTCGATATAATTTTGATCGCAAAATGGAATGAGAAAGAGCATAGTAGCTCGAGACTAAATAATTCTTTCCTATTAAATTTTTCAATCGTAGTAACAAGACGTTGACACTTGAAAGACGCTTTACTAAATAAGCAATATGCTCCTTCCAAGAGTGCCTACCATGAAGGACCACAAGATTACTCTGCATATTGACCTTTTTGTTACGTTGTAGAGACCATAACGCCATCCCAATTGGTTAGTTTTGGTTAGTTTCGGTTAGCTTTAGTTAGTTTTGATTAGTTTTGGTTAGTTTTGGCTAGTTTTGATTAGTTACTTACTGGAAAAATGAAGATATATTAAATACTAGTTATTACATACCTTGAGTATTATTATCTACAATTAATTAAAAATATTATGAGACTTTTCAAATCGCCAAACTTTATGAAAATATTTAAGTGAGTTATGTTACCGTACACCCTGAGAACCTGCTGAGTGTCCCAGACTCACAACATATAACTATGGGAAAGAAGAATCTTGTAAACTTGTAATTCGAAAATAAAGTTATTTTTAAAAAATCGGCCACCACAGTCTAGTCAGTTAATTGGCGCAGTCCGAACGGATTTTCGGGAATCTATACGTATCGAACGTATTCGTTTTGTTCCGTTTCAATCGAATTAACACGAGGACCAGATATTTGACAGGAACCATGTGGCCTCTAGAAGTCGAATCCTTGTAAAGAAGCATGACCAGAGTTGACCTATTAATCTTAACGTAAATGCAGTTGGTAATTTAATGACAAGTGTCGATGATATAATTTGCGAATTAGGCAATTTGCGTTTAAGTAGAGTTTTAACTGACTCTGTTCCAAATCCAGAAACATTAATTACAAATCAAACTAATCATTCAATTGATCACTTTTCTCAAATATTTAAATTGAGTACCAAATTTTGACGGTAACCCAAATAATGATCAAAATATTTATTTACCAAACTCTGTAGTCCATAAACTTACTGGTCAAGCCAAACTCATTGTAAATATTGAAAATGTCGACACATGGGACAAGTTAAAAGACAATTGAACTACCCCTCAGCAGGTGTAGTTAACTTTAAGGGGGGAGGAGTTATGTTACCATATGTCAACATATAACGATAGGAAAGATGGGAAACTTCAAATTATTTATATTATTAAATAATAATAATAATTTTTATTATTATTATTATTATCGGCTGCCAAGGGAAAACTTTATTGCATATCATGTCTGCAAAATGAATTTTTCCCTAAAAACGCTTCTAAACAAAAGCGTCGCGCGCTTTGATCGATCGAAACCCATACCGATCTGGCGGCGTTTTCCGCGTACAGTTTCAAAAACAAGCCAATTGGTTCCGTTCGAACTCGTTAAATATTTAAAATACTTTGGCTGCGTCGATGGCGTCGAATTTCCCGGAACCGGGGGGGGGGGGCAAGTATACGGGGGAAACGGTCCCCTTTTTTGATAAACGAAAAAAATCAATCGCCTACGTGGTCCATAAAACATTCAGAGGCCTGTATTTCGGGTCATCTATTTCCGGCACGGAGAAAAAAAATCACAACCGCAGATCCATTTAGAAATTTTATTATTATCACTACTAAAAAGAATTAGAGGCGGCTATGGAAGAGATCGTGATGGATGAGGACAATAACAATGAAAGTCGTAAGTATTATTTGGATTTACGTATTCTTATGTAAAATAACGTGAAAAAATATTTACAAAACATATTGACGAGGTCTATATTCCACCCGACGTGGATACCTTGACTAGACGAAGAAGATATGAACGATAACCTAAATCTAGGACTTTCGATGGAACCATTGCACATGGCGGACGTTGCTCCTGCCCGGTTCCAAAATATTTATAGAAATCGGTCGAAATTAGTGTCGTTAAAAGAAAATATTGTTACGTATAGTCGTAATCTGACGTGATAGTCGTTAAAAGAAAATATTGTTACGTATAGTCGTTATCTGACGTGATAGAGACGTAGTGCCTATAAGTTTGCGAAATAGTGTTCGTCTTACGTGGATGTACACGGATTTGTGATGTGTAATTCCATGAGGTGTATGTAAATACGGTTTCCGAATGTCCTATATTCACGCTGGTAACCAGGCCGGATGGGATCGGATATCCCGTATAAGATGATTGCTGGAGCCGTTTGAAGAATCGGTCGTCATTTTATGACAATTTATTTAGAAGTTGTTTCCATTTTTGTATACGTTAAATAACCCGGAGGATGATGGATTGGTCTAGACCCTTCTCTTAAGAAGGCATTCTTTAGGATATCTGAATAATGTGAAAAATTGTGTAAGCTGGCCGAATGACCGTATGCAGTCGTGGCCATTAGAAGTAAAGAAGAAAGAAAGAAGAACCTAAATCTACAAGAGTTTGGGGAACCAACTGATATGGAACTGAAATTTTCGAGTTACATACACCGAATGATACAGCTGTCCTTCAACAGTCCTGTAATTCATCAACTACTGAACCTGAATGGGACTCATCAGATGATGAAACTCTGGAATTCAAAAAAAGACCTATGCTTTCTGCGAACGACAGGCTTGCTTCTACCGTCAAATGGAACAAAGGTCAGATCGAGTACACTCACATACTTATATCCGATGAATTTAGATCATGCGAGGAACTAAAAAATAAGCTTTCTGGAAAAACTCCGCTTGAAATATTTTTTATGTTTTTTGACGACGAAGTGATTTGCAATTTGCTTTGCGACTTTTAAAAACTGATAAGACAATTACTCAAAGAAATCTCGCACCTGCCATAGATGAACTGCGTTATGACAATCAAGGTCACCTCTTGATTGTTCATGCTAATAAAGCCCGAAGGAGATGGAGAATCTGCCGCAGCCACTTTTAGTTGTTTTCTGTCGAATTTGAACTTTCTTTTGTATATTTATGTATAAATTATATGTTACATTTTATGTGCCCCAAAGCCTTATTTAATGCTTTTCCCAGTGGTTCGTATTTTTTTATATGTTTCAAGTTTTTATTTTTTTTTCTTAAGTGCAATAAAAAAAATAATTTCAGAGCAAAAAAGATTTTTTTTTATTTTTTTTATATGCTTCGGATAATATGGGTTAACTAAAGCAAAGGTGTTTGTGTTCCATTTAATAATATTAATAATAATAACGATGTTTATTTCCATGAACTTTTAACAAAAGTATCGGATAATGTCAACAAGTAAAAAAAAATACATTAGAACACTAAAATGCAAACTGCTTTTACTATTATATTATTTCGGAAATGTTCAATCTTGCTTATCTTACTATGCTTACTTGCTATTATGTGCCGGGGAAACTGCTCCAGAGCCAGTGAAGTTTTTGTCCAACAAAAACGTATTGTTCGAACAATGTTGGGGAAGTCTCGTGGTCACTCTTGTAGAACCATGTTCCCGAAATTAAATATTTTAACATTTCCCTCTCTCTTGTTTTTTATTCTATCGTTGAATACTTTGATTGTAGTAATGCTGATCTCTCAGTGTGATATATTTTGTGTGTTTGTACGTTTCTGAGTCTGAATTTTAGTGTTCTAATGTATTTTTTTTTTACTTGTTGACATTATCCGATACTTTTGTTAAAAGTCAATGGAAATATTATTATTATTATTATTAACGTCTGACTGACATCCTCGAAAATAATTAAATTCAATGCGACAAGCGTTCCCACTTCTGAGATCTCGAATTGTACATTTCGATCGCACCCTGTACGTGGGACGTGGGAGACAGCGGGATAACGAGCTCGTACTCGCGACGCGGCGATGTTCGCGATATCGATCGGAGCGTGTGTGTATCGGAAACATGAAAACTCCAGTCGATGCTTTTATTCCACTTATATGGGGTGGTCCTAGTACAGACATTAACGCGCTAATAGAAATGGTCACGGGCATTCAGGTCAAGGTCGGTTAACAAAACATTAATACGAGCGAGCGGCAGATTAACGGACAAAAAAAACTCAAAAAAGCTTAAAAAGAAAAGCTTTGGTCGCTTTTAATGGACCAAATTTGCTTTACATCGGCGATAAGAAAAAAGAAATTATAGGGCAGGGCTTTTAACCATCAAGTCGATTTATTTTTGACTAACTTTAAGCAAATTTACACAAATTTTGGCGAAGTAATATATAATTAATTAAAAAGTGTTTAATAAAAAGAACGTTCCTGATTAGTAATTTATTTATTAATAAATAAAAAATATTTTATTGTTCTCGGTCTCGTCAAATGTTTAAGCGTGATTAAAAAAAAAAACTTTTATTTTTTATATTTATTTGCGACAGCCTAACAATGCTGTTTCCTGTCTATATTTTTGTATTTCTATGCAAAATTGATGTCGCCTTTTGCATTTGTTATTGTTATTCTTATTATTATATCATTAAAACAAGACGACTAAGGTTACACACTTTTTTTTATTTTAAACCTAATTAGCTTTGACCGTTCGGTATAAAAGCGGACGTTTCCGACACGTGATCATTATCTATTTCGTTGGCGCCAAAATTGAATATTTTAAGTCGCTTAGCGAGGCAGGAACGGTTATTGGCTTTGTGCCCGAAGCTGCAGTCGATAGACATTCGCGTCAATCAATTGAAGAGATTTGGAAAAAAAAAATCGGGAATGTGGCGTTCGTCGTAACTTGCGTGGTTTTGCGTGATACAGGGTGTCAAAGTTTTTAGAAAAAAATCTGTTATTTATTACCTACTAAAAAACTGATCCTAAGGACGCTTGTTCGTCGTCGTCAGAAAGAAAACTGTTTTTTTTTTGTCTTTTTCCTTTCAAAAATTTACTAAAACTCAAGAACAAAGAGGAAAACGTGCAAATAAAAAATTTCTCAAAATTCGAGTTATTTCATTAACCCAAAAAAGTGTCATTTTTCGAAACAATCATTACATTTTCACAAAGTCGGTGCAAGATTGTTCCTTTGAGGCGAACCGTTTTACTTCAATTGTACAAAATAAAGATCAATGGGACGACATTCTTATTACAAAATTTGGTTTATATGTCATTAAAGACCCTGCACTAGAATGGATAAAGAACTTTTTATCTGATAGATCTCACCAGATTAAAGTTAATAATAATGTTTCTAGTCATAGGGATAGCAGATGGGGGGTACCGCAGGGAAGCGTGTTGAGCCCGCTATTATTTATTATTTATATAAATGATATGCATCAGATTTTAAATAACTCCTTTGTTAACCTATTTGCTGATGACACGCTTATAGCTACCAAACTGAACACCGAAATGCAATATTTCTACGAATGGCTGTGTCAAAATAAACTGAAATTAAATAGCTCCAAAACCAAGTGCATGGTTATCGGTTCTAAGGTTAACTGTCAAAAATTTTATAAGTCGGGGTATTCTGTGGATATGCAGTGTAATAAAATCGAGTCTGTTTCCGAAATTAAATATTTAGGGGTGATCTTGGATCCACAATTATGCTTTAGTAATTATGTGGAAAGAAATAAGAAATTAGGGTTTTTTAACCGTGTATCGCGGTTTTTGTCGCAGTGGACTGGGATATTAGTGTATAATAGTATAATTTTGCCTCATTTTTCATGTTTGTTCATTGCTTATATCTTGTACAAAAGAAGATTTAAATAAGTTTCAGTTACAACAAAATAGGGTTATGAGAATCATCCTGAACTGTGATAGATATACTCCTATAAAGAGTATGTTAGACCAGCTAAATTGGCTAAATGTCGGGCAGTTCATTAGAAGAGCAAGTTTAATGTTGGTTTATGGAATTGCTCACGATCACCAACCAGGCTATCTTAAATTATGGTTGGAAAAAAGGTCAAACATTCATCAATATAATATACGTTCCAATCAGCACTTCAATGTTTCTGTGGTAAAAACAACAAATTTACAGAAAACCCTAATGAACTGTCGGATAATATTAAGGGCGCGCCATGCCCAAGAGTGTTCAAGAAGAGACTTACGGGGTATTTTCAAAGTTTATAGTTTTGTTTATGTGTTGATGTGATAAATGTGTCCTTAAAATCATTAGTATATATTTTCTGATCGCCGTTGTTATAATACGACCAAAAATATAGTGCATTTATTGCTTCGACGTTTCAAGTTTTAAGATGGACCGTAACGAATATTTGTAAAAACTTGAGATTTTTATTTGAAACGTAAATGGACCGTTTTAAATTTGATTACCTAAGCATTGATGCAATATCATCTATAATATATATATATATATATATATATATATATATATATATATATATATATATATATATATATATATATATATATATATATATATATATATATATATATATATATATATATATATATATATATATATATATATATATATATATATATATATATATATATATATATATATATATATATATATATATATATATATATATATATATATATATATATATATATATATATATATATATATATATATATATATATATATATATATATATATATATATATATATATATATATTATATATATTATATATATATATATATATATATATATATAATATATATAAATATAAAGAAACATAATTGTCTGGGAAAGAATCATTAATAAATATTATAAATAATAAAGGTCCCAGTATGCTTCCCTCCCTGTGGGACACCGCTGGTGAGTACTTTAGATGAGTATCTAATCACTTCTAAGCACAATTATTTAACTTATTCAACAACAAATTAATATCATAATATCAAAGAAAATATATAATGTTTTATTATTCTGATCCAGGTTCGGGACTAGTAGAAAACTAAACAGTAGATAATCCATTTGGAAAAAACCAATAGAAGTGATATTCCACGGTAATTAAAAATTAAATGGGTATTGTTCTTCTTGCGTATAGGCCCAACAATGGAGTGTTTTAAGGCTGGATGGTTTAAAGAGTAAGGGTAAGTAAAGTCTGTTCATAGTTATAAGAAAGTGACTAACTGATACGAATTAAGGAAAGACCCGGACAAGCTGAAAGAATGAAATATGGCCGAACAGGTCCGTACTTTGCGTAGAATTTAATTATTTGGGGTTTTGTTAGGAAAGATACTATTTATTTATGCATGTATTTATATTTAAATCGAAAATAAAATTACAAATTATTTTTATTGCCCACTTAAATTATTCACATAATATATCAGTATCACTATCGCTATCATCGCCTGTTATTATTTGTTCTATATTATTTGCAATTTGGATATACGATTGTTCTCCTTTTTTCTATATGTTTGTGGAGGGATGTTAAAAACTTCGCTTTCTATAAGTTTGAGGACGTTGGAGTGACCACGGGGAAAAAGATTGTTACGACGAATGGCAGATTTCAGTTGGTGCCAAACATGTTCAATGGGATTAAATATACAGTGGTAAGGTGGAAGCCTTAAAACTATATGCCCTAGATTTTTTGCATAATTATCACAGAAGTATTCCTTTTGTAGGTTCAAGCTTTGTAGAACCTCAATTAAATGCTTTTTGGTATAATCTTCGTGAAAATAAATGTCGTTATCACATATGTAGTTTCGGATTGTTTTCTTTTGTGTCACGTGAGGAAGAGGTTTTAGTCAACTGTCTACTGTGATAATTTGCATTGTCCATTACAATGACGCTATTAAGAGGAATGATTCGAACTAGTTTGTTTTTAAACCAATTTTTAAATGAATCAGCGGTGGTGTCTACATGGTAATCCAGAGAAGAATATTTAATATTTTTCGCAGACAGAGAAAGTCGATTTGGAATCCAACCATCTTTAGAGCCAGCATGCAAAATGGTTATAGGCAATAATCTTGTTGCATTGTATGTTAAGGACCACCCTTGGATAATCACGTTCAAAAGCAATTGGTCACTTTCTTATATCTACGAACAGACCATACCTTGGAGTCATGTGATACTCAGAACAACTATACGACCGCATGCTGATTATGCAATGAGAAAATTTTCACAAAAAGTAGGGTTTATATATAGAATAGGCCGTAGTCTTTCCATGTACACCAAATACTTTTTATATAACAGCATTGCGGCACCTCAGCTCAAATTTTGCTCAACACTCCTGTATAACTTACCGAACTATAAGAGTTTCAAGTAATTCAAAATAGAGCATTAAGATCGATCATAAAGTGTAAACCCAATTTCAAGTCTTGTTAATGTCATGACGGTTAAACAAGGAATTATTTATGATGCAAATATTTTTATGTATAAGTTAAGAAATATACTATTGCTTATCCGAAAATAAAAAACTACCAAATACATTGGAAAATTGTGATAATTTCAATAACTTTAAAACTATGTTGAGGGAATATGCGATGTCTAGATTTTCACTATAAATCACTGTTTCATCTTAATTTAACCTATATGTTGATGTCTGATTATAGTTATGTTGTTTGTTGGTTTTGTTTATTCGCGCATTTTGTAAAACTTTGTAAACAATTGTTCTTGTATGTAACATCCCGAGCTAAAAAAGAAATATTGTTCGGCGAATATCCCGCTTGTTAGTGTAGGTAAATTCCTAGGGCGGTCTTGGAATAGTTACGGGTGCGAGCGGCTGTGGTTTTGGAATAATAAAGAGTAGCACTAGAAAAGCACTATATTTCTGGTCGAAGTATAACGGGTTATCTTTTCGGGCAAATGAATCCTTGACGAGGGTCCTTTCGTGTCGTTTATCGCGATGACGTCCGGTTTAACGCCCGGACGAAGGTTTTTAATTAATATTTAATATAAACGAATCAATACTTAATTAAAACGCGGCACGCGGAATTACCCGGCCAAACTCCGTACGCGATAACTTTTAAACATTAATAAAAACTTTCTTCTTCAGTTAATTCAATAGAATTGGGAAACGAAATACGTGCCAAACCGTTCCATAATAAAGAAATTCACTTTTCATCACAGACAACAAGTTGAGACCATTCTAAATTCAAGCAATCACACATTAAAAGCGGTCTTCTATATATTTTGCATGTTTCTACGCACTTACCGATACTCAAAAAAAAGTACCACTCGATATCCGCAAGATCGACCAACCTATGCGTCCTTTTCAAATACGTCGAACGTTGGCAGACAAATGACCCGTAAGTTCTATCCGTGGACGGACAACAATTTCACGAACCACTTCGGAAAACGTTTCCCGAGCGTGCAGGCGCGATAGCTGTCGCCGGACAGTCGAACTCTGAAATCGTTTTTACTAGTTTATTCCAATCGTACATCCGATTCGACTTTTCCTAGTAATCGGGCCGTACATTAATTATTCACCCGCCGACTACCTACGCGCTGGATTTTCAGGAATCGAATTCGTAACGCTCAATATCTGTCATTTTTACGAACTGACCAATGGGAACGCAGTCTACGTGGACGAAACCGTCTCTGACGTAGCGACTAAAATTCGTATTTGATATTTCCGACGGCACTTTGGCTGTCATTTTGCTTCGTCTGCGAGAGCAAAGTGCTTCGCATTTCTTCGTCGATACAAACGATAAATCGATCTCAAGGCTTTTAGTATTGAATATTCGCGCTCTCGTATAGATCGCAGAAAAGCAAGACGTCAGCGGCCGGCCGATAATACAGGGCACGGTAAACGCGCGCCAGATCTTTGGTGCCGGTGTTCTACCACTTTCAGCGTTTGTGTTGTGGTTTCACATAACGCGTTTGTGTAAAACAAGAATCCCGTAATTATCTGCGTAGTTATTGTCAAAATGAGATAGAGGATTTCGAGGTGCGCTTTTCGTTTGTCGGGATAAAGTGTTTTCGTGTTTGGAACCGGTATGAAAGTCTGGTTGTCGTTTTGAGGTTAAGCAGATTTCCCCATTGATTCTTTCGTGATTTTCGTTTTAAGTGGGAGCGTCGTTATGGCCGACGAAAAGAAGGCGAGTACTCGGCGAAAAACGTACCGGAAGTCGGTTAAATAACGTAACGTTTGAATAGGTGCAGGAGTACAAAGACTCGCTGAAAGTGCAAGCGGAGGAGCTCGTGCTCAAGGGGTTTCCGGAGACGATCGTCAAGCTGAACGGTATATTAGAAACGTCCAGTTTTAAGAACCGGAATTTCGCCGACGTCCATCAGGATTTGAACATTCCAATTCCGGATCCGATTATACTCAACAGCCATGTGGATCTGCCACCGGCTAAGAAGACTAAATACGACAATAGTATATCTCGGGAGGGCACTAACGTCATGGTGCTGCCCGGCGGCTCGGTACCGAGTAACAAAAACCTGGTCGAGCTCGTCGAATCTGTCAAACCCCATATCCGTAAACTCGTTGAAGATTCGAATCTGGTAAGTGGAGCTATTCGATTTGTTTCGTGAGTCGTACGAACCTGCCGTTCCGTTCAGATGAAGATGTGGATCTCCTTTATGATACCGAAAATCGAGGACGGCAACAATTTTGGCGTCTCGATCCAGGAAGACACCCTGGCCGAGGTTCAGTCCGTCGAGTCGGAGGCGGCTGCCTTCTTCGACCAAATTTCGAGATATTTCATATCGAGAGGTGGGGGCGACTTCGCGAAAATCTGTTTTCCCTTCAATTTTTCACGTCCGCTGTTTCAGGGAAACTGATTTCCAAGGTGGCCAAGTATCCGCACATTGACGACTACCGCAGAGCGGTGCAGGAGTTGGACGAGAAGGAGTACTTGAGCCTGTGGCTGGTGATGTCCGAGATACGCAACAGGTACTGCGCTCTGCACGACATAGTGTTGAAAAATATAGATAAAATTAAAAAGCCGCGTTCGTCGAACGCGACCGAATCTTTGTATTGACGTGATTAATTCAATTTTGTTCTAATAAATTAATGCTAAAAGTGAGTTGTTTTAATTTACCAATACACAAGGATGGCACACAACAATATTAAACATTGTAAAGTAATTGGATGTGGTTTGGGTGTTTTTTTACATTTGAAGGTATAATATCTTACTTTTGCCTATGTAAAATACTTCCAAAAACTGAAAGCGGCCCAGCAAGTTTGCTTGTACTATAAGCTTTACATTTAAAATGGCTCTACACAAATAACTCCATAAAAATATACCCTTGCAGTGTAATTGACTTCTTTTTAGAAATAGAACGTTGCCAAATATTTTTATACCGCAAATGATAAAAAATATTTTAATTTAAGTATTAAGAAAACCAAAGACACTTGTTGGCGTAACACAAAAATCCCCTTCCTCGAGCATATCGCGCCTACTATCTGCAAAATAACAGTGTAATTATACTTATATCGAAGCTCTTTTAATGGCCGGCAGTGAAAAGGAACAAAATTTACTCACGGAATGCGCCCATATTTAATCCGTTCGAAGGTTCGCTACTGCGCTGGCATCATCATTCGGATTTAAAGATCACCGTTAAATGATTTGAGAACGGAAAATATCTCAAAAACTCATAAGTTGTTCCTTCTCGGCGCTTAGTTTTCCGTGATTTTAATAACGAGAATAATTTAAAATTGACCATAAAGTTAGTGGTCTGTGATGAAGCGAGTATCGCAAATCGGAACTTCTTCTTCCACGCTTTTATTAGCCACGTATACCATGGACACTCGCCCATTGCATCGTAGATAGCATTTTCTGAAATTTATAGCCTAGGTACATTAAAGGTTCAATGAATGAATATAGACGATTTTGAGGAGTCGGGTATCGATTTGTGGTAGATGCGATATATCCCAGGTTTGTTTTGGATTTTAGTCATCTCTTTTTTATGGCAGAACCCAACGGAAGGCGTGTAATTTTCGCCAACTCAGTAAAACCAACTATGTGAACTTAATCCAAAAGAAAAGTTTTGTTATAACGATTTCTGGTTTTGTAAGGGATTAAAAACTGTTTGGGGTTCTTTCAAATAATGGGAACTTCTATTTATTAATAATGCTGGTCTATTTAGAGCTGTGCAGTACGCATGACCAGAACAAATGTCAGTCAACTTCCTACTGACTCAACACTGACATAACTTCTCGTCTCGCATGCCAAAATATTTAGACATTTTACAAACTTGTTTAGATTAAAGTCGAACAAATCAAAAATTCATTCCTTCAAGATATGCGAAAATTAATTTTAATTAGCTTTCAATATTTTATCAGAGCTTTCTTTTGGCATCCTCCAAAACGGTTTAAACTGTTCCTTTTTAAACTCTCGTTTAAGTAAGACCTGACGCATCTTAACTTTTTTCTGTCACCACTTTTTCTAGTAATCATAAACACATTAAGTTCATGAATCTTACAAAGCACTATCTTATTACATCATCACCATTTTTTTTATTTTTCATTTCAAGACGAATGAGAAATTGGAAAATCAACGAGACCACAAAATCCAGAAGTAGTAATACAGACGACTGATAGTAAAGAACCTAAATTTAAAGCAGCAGATATACTTTTTAATACTGTGGAGGCAGTCTTACAGAATATACTAATATGCCTATATTGTTTACTAATTCTGAAAACCGGAAATCTAACGCAGTATTAGAAGAGCCATTCAACAACAGCGTGGATATGCGAAAATTGAATATATCGGCGCCATTTATACTCGAAACTGAGCTCAGAATTACCAGCTTTTCAATTATGTTCCTTGGATGCTATAACATTAATTTTGAATACATTTATAAACACACGATGCTCCTGGGAAGCATGATTCATCAGACGTGATCTCTAACAGACTGATACTGTAACATAAAAAAAAACAAGCAACGGGCAGCTGTAGTCATGTAAGCAAAAATATTTTTATATGTATTTTTTAATTGTTAAACTCTTATATAAAAATATATTTTTTCACATGACCAAGTGCAATGATCGATTTTTAGCTGTTTCAGCAGTGATTAGTAAAGGAATATGTTTTTTGAAAAATTTTATTATTATTACTAATAGGTGTCTTTTAAGAAAACATTTATAATTATAAGTTTTATATTATGTTTTTAAATAGAATAAATTTTGCCGTATATCCAATGATTTACTAAAAAAAATTTTAGTTTCATTATTTTAAGATTATCAGTAATAATTTTCTTATTACTATGTATTTTCAGATGTTTATTAATTTCATAAATTTCAATAATTTTCGACAATTTCGACGTAAATTATTTTTTTTTTTACATTTTCATTCAAAATTTAAATTGAATTGAACCGTACGTCCCGCGCTTTTTCCTGGACACAATCACTAGAGGGCGTTAAACCTCGCGTTCGTGAATTCATTGTCGGTGTCAATAACTAACTCGTTTGCATAAAAAAATAATTTATTTGGACATGTACAATGGCGATGTATAATACTGACTTCGGGGGGGAAACATTGGAAGTAGCAATGGAGGACGCTCAGACGCCGTTGCACCCGATCTCCTGCGTCGGCTTGGGCGTCGCCCTCAAATCCCTCTTGAACTCGTCGAAGAAGACCTCGTCCTCTGGACTCGTGGCCAACGAGTCCAGGATACCGTCCGTGCACCCCGCGCCGTACTCTTCGTCCTCCTCGTCGGAATCCGCCACCAAAATGGGCGTGGCACCGTCCAGAAGGTTCGATTTGCTCCTCGACCTCTGGTAAATCTCTTTGGAGACGCTCCTCACGAACGAGAACCTCTTGGACTGTTGCCTGGACAACGTGGGTCTGATCGCCTCCTTCTTCGCGCCCTTGGCGTCGATCAATTCGGAAGCGTGCCGGTCGATGATCCTCCAGGCCCGCTCCACGTCCTCTTGGGTGGCATTCTCGGCAGTTACGCAAAACCTCATAGTGTATTTGTCCTTAACCATGGACGGGATCATGTGGAGCTTCCCTGAAGAGTTGATGGACGCCAGAAGCGCCTGGTTATTGGAGTCGTTGGCCAAGAGCCTGAAACACACCAGCCCGAGTCTCACATCGTTGACCACCTCGAAGCGATGGTCCTTCCTGACGAGCGTCTCGAAATGTTTGGCCAGTCTGATGTGGTTCCGGATGTATTTCTGTAGACCGGACAATCCGTACTTTCTCAGCACGAACCACAGCTTCAACGACCTGAACCTTCTGCTCAGAGGTATGCCCCAGTGTCTGTAGTCGATCGCTTCATCGGAATTGGCGTGCTGGAGGTAGAGCGGGTCCACCACTAACGCCGACGTCAGTTTTACCCTGCTGCGCACCTGTTTAATTCACTCGAATTTAGGTTTTAATTGAGTTTAATTTTTTTAATACTAGTAATGAAACAATTAATTAATATAAATTATATACAATTATTATTTACTTATTGAGCTGTGGTTACTTAATTAATTAAATTAATTTGAGATAAATTGTTTAATTATTGGCAATTTAATTAATTTGAAAGTTAATAGTTAGACGACGTTTAATTGTTTCTTAAGTTCATTGAGCTGTGATTAAATCAATTATGTGTAATATATTTTGCTATTGAATTAATTATTTGATTACCCTTGAATAATTATTCGGTAAGACGATTATTAATTATTTTTTAATTAATAATTAGTAAATGAGTTTTACTTTTTTAATACTAGTAATGAAACCATCAATTATTTAATTAAAATTGTTCGATAGTTACTTATAAATTAAATTAGTTTGAAAATTTATAACTATGCAATAACTCTTTACTTATTGAGCTGTGGTTAATTAATTAATTAAGTTTACACGAAACAACGTTTTTAATTATAATTAATTTAATTAATAGTTAGGCGACAATTAATTGTTTTATAAATTCATTGAGCTGTGATTAAATCAATTTTGTATCAAATATTTTGCTATTGGATTAATCGTTTGATTATACTCGAATAATTATTCGATAAGACCTTAAATAATAATTTTTAAATAATTAATCGATAACTAGTTATAAATTGAATCGATTTGAACGTTAACCAAATTCTAAGCTAAATTCATTCAGCTGCCATTAAATAAATTTAGCATAAAACTATTATTTAAGCAAAATTTAATGATAATTTTGAATTTTTGATAATTTGAATTTGAAAATGAATGGCTCGACGATGATTCAGAATTTGTTAAATTCATTAAGCTGTAATAAATTAGTTGTGTATTAAATATTTTGTTATGACATTTAATTTAATTTTAAAATTTATAGTTATATTATACAATCATTGTTCAAAGTAGAGGTTTATAGCCTTGGATTTTCCACGTGTCCTGGTTCAAAAATTTTTTAACTGGTTTTCGAGAAAATAAGTTTTTTCTAAAACCATGCAGTGCGACGTAATAATCAATGACGTCATCGCGTTTTGAAAGCCCCCGAAATAACGATCTCAATATGGATTCTTTCAAATATCCCGAGCAGCCTACGAGAAAGACGAAAATCGCAAAAACAAAAACTGCTCTTGATGCGGCGTATGACACAATTAGCCATATTTTTTACGATTTTTGCCTATACTTTGAAAATCCTGTATATAATCGAAAAAAGGCCCAAAATAAATATTATTAAAAAAGCTGGATATCGGCGTCGGATCAGGGCCATTTCTTATAAGCTTATGTGCCTCGTGGAGGATTAAAAAGGAAGCAAATTTCAATTTTGTGACTCCAACGGTTCGAAAGTTATTCTCGAAAAACCAAAAGACGAGAACGGAGAACGGACAGACAAAAAAAATTTTTTTTTCGACGGTGATCATTTCTGTACCGACGGCGATCCCGCAGGACCTACCGTTACAAGTAACAAGTTTTTTTTTAGTTGCCTATAAAGCTATTCTTAACCTCACCCAAAGACAGGAACAGTCAAAATTGACCAGCAGCCACTTGTTGGGGTTGGTGTTGAACGAGTCGGCGTACTCTATCCCATCCAAGTACTTTTTAAGCTCGGGACAGATGAACGCGTTCCCGGCATACGCGGCGTCTACGTGGAGCCAAACGCTCGACTCGCGTTTGCAGACCGGCCCGATTTCCCGCAGGTCGTCGAAGGAACAGCTCGACGTCGATCCCAAAATGGCTGACACGAAAAACGGGAACAGACCGTCGGCCTTGTCCTCGGCCATCGCGTCGGCGAGAGTGTCCTTCGTCAACGAGCCGTTCCCGTCTGCTTGGAGGATCCTCAGCTTGACCAGTAGTATTTTGGCGGCCTTCTCCACGCAGGAGTGAGCCTCCTCGGAGCAGTAAGCTACCAGCTTAGGGAGGAAAGCGCTGTCTTCCACGTCTCCGGAGTTCCGTTTCAGGTGTTGGATGGCTTGGTTCCTAGCGGCCAGCATCGAGATGAGGACGCACTCGCTGGCGGAGGTCTGGATGACGCCTCCACCTGGGCCGGAGCCTCCGGGTTTGCGCGAGGCGATGAAGTCGTCCGGTAAGCCGATGGCTTTGCCGAACCAGTCCATGACGATGGTCTCCAGTTCGGTGCACGCGGGACTCGCCGCCTTCATTAAAAATCTTATTTAAAGTCTATTCACAGATATAAAAAAGTGATGAAATATGGCCGAACAGGTTCGTACTTTGCTTAGGATTAAATTATTTGGGGTTTTATTTATTTAGTTATGTATGTATTTATGTTTAAATCTAAAATAATATTACGAGTAAATTACTCAAAATTATTCACATAGTATACCAGTATCACTATCGCTATCGTCGCCTGTTCCAATTATTATTTGTTCTATATTATTATTATTATTTGTAGAACCTCAATTAAATGGTTTTCGGTAATAATCTTCGTGAAAAATAAATGTCTTTAATGCACATGTAGTTTTGGATTGTTCCTTTTGTGTCACATGAGAAAATGTCAGCATCGCATCTTTTTTTCCTAGCTGAATTTTCGTCAACGTGGCCGTTTTTTCTAAAGATGCTTGCTTGCTGGCACCACGTTCAATTAATGGCTTTTTGGTATAATCTTCGTGTAAAAAAGATTGTTAGGATGCCCAGTTTACAATTATTTTAAAATATAGTCGAAGCTCTATATAGCGAAATTGAAGGGACTGCTTTTTTTTATAGGCACTTTAAAAATAACAATACGCATATATGTTCTGTAATATTTAATTATTTTATGTACATATTTTAACATCTACTTAGGGACATTTTATTCTTTTGAATTTTTTAGTATCCCAACTTTCTTTTTTTCTCTCAAACTCACATTGGCAGCTACTAACACTGTTATGCGTTCTTTCGAAGGTTTTCCACCCACACACTTTTCGCTTCGAAAGTTAAGTTTTATCTGGCATCATATACCAGGTTTGTCAGCATTAAAAATGTTGTCAGCAGGGTACTTTTCTGCTAGTTTTGGCCACCTATTCTCCAGCCAATCGTTAGTGACGTTTCTGTCGACATCACGGGCTTGGTCACTTATCTGTCTATAATTTATACCATGTCTCTGTTTGAACTTCCCCAACCATTTTTCCGAAGCCTTGAAATCGATCATGCCGAGCTGTTTAGCAAACTTTTCTGCTTTTAGTTTTACGATAGAATGGTACATTTTTAAGACGTTGCTATTGGAACCACTCTTGGCTTTCTTAGTTTTTTACAAGGCGCGTTTTAACTTAACCTTAAGATAGATGATAATTATTCAAATTAATTATAATGCGTGAGTAAATAGAACATTAAAGTTTTCAGTGAGAATATCAGCAGACTACAAGAACTAGATCGTTTTCGTCAGATTATATTTAAATCCCTTCTTGTTAAAAAGTTCCTCGTATTCGGAGATTGTGGCGCCATCTAGCAGGCAAGAGCTACACCAACAGAGAACACCTCTTTATCGCAGAGGTCGCGAGTGATGAAACGGGCTCTCTGTTAAACAAACTAGGTTCGATCTTAATCTTCTTAAACCATCGTCATCGTGTACCACATTTTACGTATGTATTTATAAATCCTTTATGCCAGTATGTATGTAGGCGTGTATAAAGTACAGTACGATATAATGAAAGACAACCCTAAGATCTTCAAAAGAAACTTTATTTTTTCTTTCATTCCAAAGGCTCATGATCAATTTGATCCCTCCAACACAATCTCCGGTCCAAAACGGTAGATTATAGAATTGCATTTCTTAATGGCGACGCGATATAAAGAAAGTTTTATAGCCTTTTAGTATCTTTGACCCTTTGTAAAATTCCCTTTTACTATAAATTCACGATAGTTAGGGCATGACGTGCGACCGTAAGTTTTTAAGTTTCTTATTTAAAGCTCGACTTTAGAAGGTTTCCTTCGAGCCGACAGCCAGGATTACCCTTAATCCTTTTACCGAGCTGCAAACTCGGCGACGAAGACCAAAAAAAAAACAATACTGTCAACACTGGACAACAACTACTTAAAATAGAGGCATGCTTATAAAGACGGCCACGCAAGTGTCTGTCAATTGTTTTGTCATTAAAGTGTCACCGACGTCATTGTCAGTCGATGAAAACGCGAACTTTTCAATCGCACTTTATTTTCCCGGGTGAATTTTTGTCATCAAGGTCGGCTCCGTTGTTCCTGTACTGTTATTTACCTTCGGACTAATCAGGAACCGGCAATGACGTCACAGCGTAAAATCGGTCGACGCGGATCTGTCGCGTTCGTCGGTTCCTTGTTCCTGTTTAGGCGAACGTCACGTCACGGAAGCATGGGCGTTGTCTAAAACGCGGCCAACTCGAACCGATGTTCTTTTTTTCTTACGCGACGACTTTGACACGTTTTCATCGTTTGGGTGTATTGTTTTCGGTCGAACTGAATAATGCGGATTAAAATTACGTCGTCCGTCCATTTTGATGCCACCGGTTTTATGCTGTGGCGGGTTAAATTTTATTAAATATAATTGTTTCAAGTCAATGCTTAGTTTTAAGTGTTCTGTTACGAAGTTTAAGACTAAATAATGGTAATAATACTAAATATTATTAATTGAATTATTTTTTTTTAGATTCATGCGTATGTTTTATGATATACAGAGTGATCGCAAGGTTTTAGACTGGAAATAATACTAAATATTATTATTTGAATAAAATATTTTGTAGGTGGTAAATTTTTTTAACCATAATTATACCGAGTTTACCAAGAGAGTCTTCATTTATGAGTTTTATGATATACAGGTCGATCGCAAGGATTTGAGAATGGGAATAATATTAAAAATTACCCATAGAAAAAAAAATAGTAATGTTTAAAATTTGCATAACATAATTATACCGTGCTTGCCAAGAGTGTGTAAATTTATAAGTTTTCTGTTACACAGGCCGATTGCAAAGTTTAAATATTAATAAATATTCTCACTCTCAGCTGAAGAAAATATTAAATAGTGGCATAATTAAATGTTTAGTTGAAAGTAATGATACACAGGGAAAAATGCAATATCAAGTAGTGTTTTAGGTTTTAAGCTTAAGAGGGTGTTTATTAGTAAGTTTTATAGTATACAGGGCTCCCTCAAATGTCGAGAATCGATATAATATTAAATACTAATGATAGAAAAAAAATTATTAATGATTAATGTTTGTGTAACATAATTATGCCATGGCTGAGAAAGTGCAGAAAACCACAGACCCATAACTTTGCTTTCCCATAGAATAAAGAAACGCCAGGATACAATACAATACAAAATACGCATGTCGCGTTTGATGCGGTCTCGTGGAAGGACCGGCTAATATTAGACGCCGAATATGCTATTTTAGTCAGTGTCGGCTATGGGTGGGCGGCCAATGTAAACAGCGTTTAAAAAAATACTAATGCCACTTAGTTATTCATCTTTTCGATTCTCGGCATTAGTACCGATATGTATTTAAGCGATTAGCGCCGAATCTCGTGCCGGTTATGAGTCATCCAGCACGTAGGAAGACGCCACGTCCTTTTTGAACGCTGTGAAAGTTTTTGCCAAGACGTCGATACGGGCTCGAGCAAAAATCGATGATTTATTAAACGAATGTTGATTGTTTAAGGGAAAAAAAGTATAAACAAATTATAATATATACCGGGTGTTTAAAAAAAATCCGCTAATTTCTTATGTAAATAAAATATTTAAGAATTTTTGGAATTTGGCTAATTAAACAAATATTATTTCCAAAAATGTTGCCTCATTTTAAGCAAAAAAAGCAAATATAAATAATATAATGTATACCAGATTTTTGAAAAACATTTCCGCTAATTTCTGAATAGAATATTAGCGAATTTCCGATTAGTAAGGTTTATTAAACAATTAAAATTTTACTAGATCTATCAACGTTTTGGTGGCATTAAATTATCTTGAAGCTTAGAATAAATAGTAAGTTAAAACTTTTAAATTATAAGTAGCTGAGCATAATATGGGTGTTGTGTCAATACTGGCAAATAATAATTTTAAACAATAAATAATAATAATCTTGAAACCGGAAAGAAAAATTAAAATAGAGCGTGTTATAATGAAACAAAAAAAGCATTTAAAGTTGTTTTTTTTTTCGATTTTCATCATCACAAAGTAACATGAGGAGGTCCAAAGAATTGTAAAAAAATATGAAAAGTACACCAAAAAAACATAAATAAAAAATAAACTAAAAAACTAAAACTATTTAAAAAGGCATATAAAGTAGCTATTTGCTCAAGCGAAAAATTCATCGACTTTGATGATGGAAAAAAAAAAAAAACATAAGGACTAATTCGAAACATTAAATGAAGCAATCGAAGCGATATGAAGCATTTGTCGCAATAGAAAGTTAAACAAATGCGATATATTCGAAGGAAAACTATGAAAATTAAAAAAAAAAAGAAATGCGTGTGGGGTTGAAAGCGAAATATAATAAATTAAGTAAAACTATCAAAAGAAAACTACTCGTAAAAAAAAACAAACCAAAAAAAGTACAATATAAAATATTAATCGTAATAGTCGTTTATTTTGGATTTCACAATATAGAGTCGTTATTTTTTCAAACCAAAAGTTCAAAAATATGAATAAAATATGAGAATTAATTTTAAATTTAGTGAAGCAATCGAAGCAATATTAAATAATTGTCTCAATAAAAAATTTAAAACAAATACGTTATATTGGAAGGAAAACTATGAAAATAAAAAAAAGAGGGTTGAAAGAGAAATGTAGATTGAAGGAAGTTATATGGCGAAAAAATATCCATATAGCTAACAAAATCATAATAATAAAGTAAAACGATCAATGGAAAATAATAAGTAAAAAAACAACAAACCAAAAAAGTGCAGGTGTAAGATACTTTAAAATATGAATTAAAAAAGCATTTAAAGTCGTTTTTTTAAATTTAACAAGAGGAAATCCAACAAATCGTAAAAAAAAATAAAAATGCACAAAAAAAAATAAATTAAAAAACTATAAAATAAAACCGTCGACTGTTGTTTTTTCAACACCAAAAATTAAAATAATAATTAAAAAAATATAAATTAATAGAATAGAATTAATTTTAAACATTTATTGAAGCAATCGAAGCGATGTGAAATAATTTAAAATTAAAAAAAAATGACGGTTGAAAGAGAAAAAAAAACGTCCAAATAAACAAATAACAAAAAAACATTAAGTAAAACGATCAAAGAAAAATTCCAGGTTATTATATAAAGTGCAAAGTAATCGTAAAAAAAACATATAAATTAATTTTATACATTGCGTGAAGCAATTGAAGCGCCAGAATCGAGTTGCGGGTGAAAAAGTCAACAAACTAATCGAAAATATGTGTGTATACGCGAAACCATCGACATCTCAGAAAAAAAAACGACAAAAAAAACTTACCCACGAGAAGCCGATGCACCCCACGGCGTTGGACAACATATCGGCCAGTATCGACGGGTAGGAGTTACCACTGGGAAAGTAAGCGTGGAAATCCGGGTGCTGCCAGTGGGTGAGACCCGGCATTATCTTGGTGTCGACGTCGTCCATAATCCTCTCCCAAGTTTCGGGCTCGAACGGAGCCTCATCTGGGATCAAACGTTTCAAGTAGCCGGGTTCTTGGTCTGGTGTGACCCTCTGATCTCTCAACTGTTCCATGTATGCGCAGATGTAGTCGACCATCTCTTTGCCGCGCGTCCTGAACTCTTCTAGGTCCATGGTACTCGCCGGCAACGCGTAAAGTGGAGCCGTCGATTGTCTAATTATTTTCTTATATGACGCCGTGTCGGCGGAGCCAGTGGTGGGGCGATCTACGGGACAGAATATCACAATCGCGTCACAAATCTTTTGACTTCTGGGCTGTCGGCCTTTGTTACGGTGCATCGTACAGATTGAATCGGCATCGAAAAAAAAAAAATGTTTTTATTTTTTCTGTGTCCGTTCTCTGTTCCAGGGTTTTTCGACGATAACTTCCGAACGGTTCGAGCTACACGCTTCAAATTTTTCCCCTTTTTAATAATAATAATATAATATAAATCTTTATTTAGCATTATGCTACATAAAAAATATAAAATATAAAATTCCAGATAAACGGAAATCAAAAGCCAAACACAGAAATCAGAATTTTGGCAATACATGGCGTCTTAAAAGTCTTTTAAATTCATTAAGAGTGTCACAGTTTTTAATATCATGCGGTAAATTGTTAAAATGGTTTCGGCCTTTATGTAATATAGAGTATTGTACTTGACTAGAATAACATTCTCTTAACATAAAATTACCACAATTCCTTGTATTGTAAGAATGAATGTCTCCGAAATAGGCAACTTTTTCACAAACATAATTGGGAACACGCCGTTTAATTTTAAATACATAGACATTAAACATTACATTTTGTTTTACAGACAAGAAATTAAGAACACTCAACATGCTTTGAATTGGCGTATATCTGTTACTGATTCGCATGAATGTTTGGAGCGAAAGCCCGACTGGTCAGGCACTAAAATATTGTTTACCTCACAATAGCTTTGCAGCTGCTGTTTCACCACAACCTCAGGAACCTTCTCATAAACTGGAACGGTATTAATTGGTCTAAACTCTTGACATAGCTTGGTGTTCGGAACCTTCTGTACAGGGATCACCATTGATGTCTTCCATGCCTCAGGAAAAATTCCACTCGTAGGGACGTGTTCGCAATGTCCAACAATCGATTTCCGACAACTGCACATGCATCAATCAATACACTCTTTGAGATACCACACTCATCACCAGTCACATTTTTTAATTCGCTTATTATTACTTTTAGGTCCTGCATAGTTATGGTATTAAACCGATTTATTTCTCCAGAAGGTATATTAGTAGTATCATTTACATTTTGAATGCCAGTCAAAATATTTTGAACACTGTCTAAAAAATACCTATTAAATTCATTAGCTATGTCTTGCTCAAGTGAAACAATTCGCTGGCCAAACTGCAACTCATCGGGAAGTATGCCTTTAATAATAATATCTTTGAAATATCTGTCTTTTTCTAATTTAATGCAGCTTACAATGCGATTTCTCTCTTTTTTGTTTGCACGCCATGTATCATCATTTAGTTCAAGTACCGCTCTTTTATACAAACAGTCTCTTTGATACATCATTTCTTTTATCACAGGGGTTATCCACTTTTTTTTTACTATCGGACAAATTTGGTTTATTATATTAGATATACTATCTACAAAGGTACCAGCCAATATGTTTAGATCCGTAATACTATTATTCCAGGATGTTTCAAGAAGCGATTGCTGCAGTAGGTCGCTACTGTAATTTTTCATGCATCTGTAATTTACTTCCAATAAGACGTCGTTGCTGGTATTTTCTATTTCTATTTGTATAGAACCTCTATACACCTTCGTGTGTGGACTGTATCTTGCTCTCGTACCGTTCAAACGCACTTTCCTTCGTGGTGGTCAGTTCGGTACTGGCGCGCTGGGCGGCATCCCTTCGGCTGCACCAACGGTCCGGCACGCACTTGGACCGTGATTGATGCATGATAGTCACGTGACTCTGGCGTGTTCACACGTAGCGGGGTTTCACATATAGCAACGAAAACTAATAGGTTCTTAACACTATTGACAGTATGTTATTGTCGCTCGTTCTTGGCGTTAGATGTATTTTATGTTGCAGATATTTATCATTGGTTATTATATAATCTATCAGAGTTTCACTTTTGTCTGTAATTCGTGTGGGTGACTTAACAGTTTGGTAGTATCCATTTCTGCGTACAATACTCAATAACTTTCCACCATAAAACGTATTTTTTAATCTCCCATGATAATGTTTGTTCCCGTAAAATCGCTCAGTTCATCCAAATCATTTGAAAAGTGGTCCAAAAATTTAGCATTTTCCAACTGTAGAGGATGATATAGAACACTACATAGATATTTTGACTCAAATAGCACCACCTCCACAGACACAGTATGGAGGGTCGGCAAGTATTTAAAAAAAATAAAAACTTTCTCGGTAATTAGATTATTAGGGTAAGGAATTCTAAGAAGGTAAAAGACTATTATAAAAGTCGGCCTACATTCCTTACTTTGTTGCCTGATGTGCCCCTTTTTCTCTCGGCATATAGAGTGAGAAATTGGTTATACAATACATACTTTGTATGGAGATCTAACAGTACAATAAATTTTGTTCGTAATACAGAGTTTTACGTTATACAGGGTTTCGCTGTAGGGAGTTTTCACTGTATTTCTAGAATTTCAAGTACAACTGCCAGCTGCTAATGTAATGTGTACAGTAAACCCGTTGAAGGCGCCACTTTGGCAATCTGCGGGTGACAATAACACGTCATTTTCGCAGCGTGAGCTACGGCTTTTTCTGTTCTACGGTTGGCAACCCTGCTCCGCGCTGTGTTCTCAGTGTGCCGTGGACTGTTATCGCAGAAAACGCTCTTAATCGCGGAAGCTTATGAAACGCGCAAGCTTCACACATCTGGCGACGCAAGCAAAAATTCTCATGGATCGTAAACGCGCAATAAGATATTACTCAGCCGATCCCGACGACGTTAAACAAAATAAACTTTCGGTTTTTATAAAAGACCGGTGTTTATTGTTGTCCCAAAATGCGTATCTTGATAATTCGGACTCAGTATTTTCCGACACGAATGACAATTTTCGGCCTTAATAGCAAATTAACGTTTTATCCGTTAAATTAGTTAAGTTAATGACGACTCGTAAGCTTAAAATTTAAGTTATTTTATTCACATCTGGGATGGATTCTTACTGTGCCCCCTGGTGGCCACTTCAGAAAGCCCGATCATAATTTTTCAGCCTTTTTTTTTGAAATTATTAGAAACCTTCAGCGTTTTCGAGAAATTAAAAAAAAAACACACAAATTTATCCCCGTACACAGTACAAAGAAATCTGGATAACAGTAAATAAAGATATTCATAAAAAACCAATTAGAATTTGCTGGCAGTTAAAGAGCCGAGAAAAGGGTATATTTGGTTAGTTTTGGTTAGTTAATTAACGTCTTATGCGGTAAATTAGGGATAATTAGTTAAGTTAATGAAATTTAATTTATTTTATTCACATCTGGGATGGATTCACACTGTGCCCCCTGGTGGCCACTTTAGAAACCCCGATCATAATTTTCCGGCCTTTTTTTTTAATTATTAGAAAATTCTAAAAAAGCTTCGTTTTCGGGAAAAAAGATATTGAAAAATAAGACAATTTATCCCCGTACACAGTACACAGAAATCTGGATAACAGTAAACAAAGATATTAATAAAAAACCAATTACAATTTGCTGGCAGTTAAAGAGCCGAGAACAGGGTATATTTGGCAAGTGCATTTAAGGTTGGTCCAAAAAATTTTTGGTGTACTTTGAGGAGATTCAACTGAGATGGCTTTTACTTGATGTAAATCAATTTAACAAAATAAATAAATAAATAATAATAATGACAGAGGAAGCCATATTACAACAAACAAGAAAGGGCGAGGATGAGCACCAAAAGGAAGAAGAAGATGACCACCACCAACCATTCAACAAGCCCTATATTCAGTTAAGCTGCTAGAGAAATTGTTTATGCATCACGGGGAAGATGCCCCTCTCGAAGAAATGGTGAAAATACAAGCCAAAGTACGAGATGCTTATTGGCATAGCAAAAAAATTCAAAAGAAAATGACCGATCATTTGAAACATTAAATGTAGTCCTTAAATATTTATACAAAATGTTCCTAAGTAGATGTTAAAATATGTATATTGTTTGTATACATATATACATACATTGCGGTCCCTTCAATATCGCTACGACTGTAAGTGGTAAGAGGGTCCGGTAACTTCCTTTTTCGGCCACCCTTCGTTCGCATCCCACTTCGCGCGCCGACCAAATGGTCCAGATATTGATCGAAGGGTTCTCCATTCACTCCGCGATTCCCGCTCTCTCCCGTAGTCCGTAGTAAAACGCGTACGGTGTCGCGATAAAGACACGGCCGCCATCATGGCGGACAACGACGGTGCCTTGAAACCCAAGATGACCCTCGTGAACGGCATCACTGTGATCGTGGGCAGCATCATAGGGTCCGGCATCTTCGTTTCGCCCTCGGGAGTGTTGGAGCACACCGGGAGCGTCAACGCGTCATTGTTGGTGTGGGTCATGTCCGGACTGTTTTCGATGGTAAGGAGATGGTCGAAAGGGCGCGTGACTCGTCGAAGATTAAAAATTATGAATCCACGACTGCCAAAATTATATTCCTTAGTTCAATTACATAAGCAAGATAGACTAGCCGTGTCTTAAAGTTCCACACAGGTTTTAAAGCAAAATTTGTAATAAAATATTCTTTTGAATTAATCTATAAAATTAAAGATAACAAAATCACTTTTAACGCAACACTATTGCCTTTTGATGTACAAACTTATTTCCAAATATTCCACCTAGGGATGTGATAGATTTATCTTAGAAAATATTTTATTTATAAAGAAAAATTGGCATCTATTGCACCATCAAAGCAGAGGTCGTAACTACGTGGTTATTACACGCTGCCGCTTAGAGAGGTGTCAGACTGGTTCAAATTATTGGTCCGTTAAGTTTCCTTCATTCGTGTTTTACCATTTGAAATGTATAAACAAACAGACGATTCAATTTCAATTATTGTGTACCGGGTGCATTTTAAGTACGAGGGCAGCGCCAAAAATTCCCGGCCTGAATATGAAAGAAACAAAATAGAGTAACAATTTTTTATTATTTTTCAATATAATTCCCCTTAACTTCAATACACTTATTACATCTCTTTATTAACAACACAATCCCTTTAAAATAATATAAACGACAGTGGTATTAGTGGTATACACCATCCAGCCTTTCTTTAATAATTTAAGGTGCTAACCCTGTCAAAAAGTTTATAACTGTTCTATACACGGACACGTCTTGTTTAAAATGCTGTCAATAAAAAACTGTTTGACGCGAAATTTCAATTTTTTTTTCGCAGCCTACTAAGATATACATTTAAAACAAGACAAAGTTTTATCGTGATAATGGAGCTGCGTCGATGTCAGGCCGGGAAATGTTGACGCTAACCTCGTATATGTAATTTTATTCCTTTTTGTTTGACGTATGTAAGTCATTTGTAACATTAATAAAGTATTCGCATTCGTATCCGTATCGTCTGCAGCACATCGTTGAATCGTTGAATTTTTGTGATAAACTCTTTCAGATCGGCGCGTATTGCTACGCGGAGCTGGGCACGATGATCAGGAAAAGTGGCGCGGACTACGCCTACATAATGGACACCTTCGGACCCTTCGTGGCGTTCGTGAGGCTGTGGGTGGAGTGCATGGTCGTGAGGCCTTGCTCGCAGGCCATAGTCGCATTGACGTTCAGCCAGTACGTCATGAAACCGTTTTTCGTCGACTGCGAACCGCCTGACGTGCCGGCCAGGCTACTGGCAGCGGTTTGTATATGTGAGTCCACCGGACGCAGCTCAAATCTCGGCGCCACTGCCTATTAAAATTCGAAAAATAAACGTATAACGTAAATAAATGTATAACGCTAAAAATCGACACGTGATAATTTTCAATAATTACGGGGGCCGCCTTTTATATTTCGGGATTTGTAATAATAAGATTTGTAGAAATATGACTTTATAGGTACAAAAAGAAGTCATCATCTCATGGTAGGTCCTGACGATCCTGCAAAATCTGGAACATTCACGGATTTTGGACGACAAAATAAAAATAAAAATTCCTTACAAAAAAACGGAGATTTTCACGACTATAATATACGTAACAAAGACCGTTTCTCCATTAAAAAAAATAGACTAGAATTTTCAAAAAAACAATTTACGAACACCGGCATTTGAGTCTACGGTAGACTGTCCCCAGAAGTAAAGAGTTTCCTCCTAGAGAACTGTTTTTATAATTTAAACCAATATATTTGTCATCACTCTCTTGTTGTGCTTTGTCATATATTTCTATTATATAAATTTTTAATGAAATTTTCTGCCTCATTTAAATGATCTGCTTGCCGAAGCCATAATGCACTGATTGTATTCTAAATATATGGGATAATAAAGATATTATTATTATTATGCATTATTGTTGAGTTAGTCCACGTTTAAAGTTGTAAAAGATTATTCCAGTTCCATTTTTAAGCGTCACATTTTTTTTTAATTTATCACAAAAAACACGAACAACACTCTTTCGCCAAAACCTAACCAGGAACCCTAACCTCAAAATGTCAAACTTCCCATTGAAAACGTTAGTCGCCAGATGGCAGTACTAGGTTAAGAAAATCCCGAAATATAAAAATCAGCCCTCGTATATATTGTTTGAGGGCGACGGAGCTAAATAACGGCAAAATTCCCATATTGGTGACTGCTAAAGACCTGAGTCGCGGTTAAGATTGTTAGGTTCCATATAAATTTCTATAGACTCTCGGATTTTTAGTTGGTAGAAGAATTGTATTAGTCTTAATGCTCTTTTATGTTCTTTAAGTGTAGTTGCCACATCTCAAATGGAATTTTGTCTTTGACGGATCGAAGATGTTGAGAGATTTTTGGACGGTAAATCTGGTTTTGACGTTATACTTCTTTAGAATTTTTGGTAGGTGGTCAGTGATATTTTGAATGTAAGGAAGGACCACAGTGGCAAGTATGAGGGTGTGAGTACGATGTTTTACCAATTTAACACGCTGATTCGCACTAAATTTTTCATTTTCATGAATCTTTAACCTTAACCTTCGCAAACGAATTTGAAAAAATTGGTAGCACCGTAGAAAACTTTTGTAAATACGTTAGACTATAAATTAGTAAAGCAAAGAGTAAATAAAGTAGTAGATTAAAATACTTTAAAATTGTTAACATAAATTAATCAATAATGTTCTTGACTATGTAATTTACGAATGCTAAAATTTCTGATTGTAAAATTTTCAAAAATGAAATATATTGTTTTTTTTGTATTTGTAATACCAGTTTTGATATTTTAATGAATTTTCGCAAACATGTACTATATATCAGGAGGCATTATTTAGGGTACCACAATTTTTAAAAAAAATAAAAATCATTTGTACAATCCGCAGTCATTTCTAAACAAACTTAATTTCTGGATTTTTTCAATAAGATGTACGGTTTTCGCTAAAAAAAATAAAAACCTCTAACTATATCATTAATACTACGATATGCAGGGAAATTTGTTTTTATTTTTAAGGGAACACCATGCGACGGACTAAACAAAAATTAAGAGATCAAATCTTGTCAAAATGCATCCAAATGTCAATATATTTTTTAAGGAAATCAGTGGCGTGACCACTCACTGTATATGAGAAAATAATATTGGCATTGGTAAAATCAAAAAATTTTTTGTGAAAAACAAAATATTTACTCTTATCTTAAACAAAATATCTAGTGTCCTTCAGAAGGACTGTTATGTTTAATTTTGCAGTTTTAATGAAATGATATAACGTCCTAACAACAAGATAAATAATAAACGATCTTTATTTAAAAAAAAACCCTGATATTAATAAATTTTTAACAAATTTTTCTAGTATTAAGTTCAAGATTTTAATCAACAGATTTTAAAACTGCTTCTTCAATTTCTGGAGCTCTTAGGGTCCGCTGGACCCCTTTTAAATGAATATTTGCCTTGAAAGTATATGATTAGTTGGCCTATCTATACGTAAAATACATATCTCTGCCCGCTCCACATTAGTAAAGTAGACCATTCTTTTCTACAATAGAATTAATAATTCTTACAGACACGGCCCACTACGATGATAAGAAATAATTATATAAAGATTTCAGAAATACACTTCAGAGTATTTTGATGAAACAGATGGACAGTTATTTAAATAAGAAATTATAATCCGGTATAAAAAATAAAATTTCTTTAGAAGTGATTGGAGATTGCAAGGATATTTTTTTAACGAGAAATCAGTGGCGTACCATCAATGTATGCTAAATATATAATAGATATTAAAAAAATACACTTTAGTTTTGAAAATTTTATCGCCCTTATCTCCATAGTTAAGACGTTTAGTACATATATTCATAAAAATATGGTTTATAACTTCGAAAATTTATATTTTTCGATCAAAATATACAAAATAAATTTTATAAAATTATACAAAAATTTAAATGTTGCTTATTCATTTTATTTTATTTGCTATTTAGGTGTAATTTTTATCAAATTTGATTTTTTTTTTATATTTTTATAATTATGTAATTTTTTTATCGTGCTGTGGTCAATAAACAATGAGTATTGAGTATAAAATAGAAAAACTAACGTATATCCCTTTTTGCTGATAAACTCCGCTGGCAGTTTTTAAATTGCAATAAATTGCCTTATGAACTGACAAAGATGGACCTGGTGCGAATTTTTTCAGGCGTTTTGACGTTTATCAATTGCTACGACGTCAAATGGGCCACTGCTGTACAAGATGTCTTCACGTATGGCAAGCTGACAGCTTTATTCATTATCATCGGCGCAGGATGCTATCAACTCTTCCTGGGTAAGAAATTTGGTAAAGAAGCATAATAAACATGTAGAAAGTGTGCTTTCGTAATAGTAATATTTAAATGTTCCCCGTATTTTCGTTTTCGAGACGAAAATGAAAACATTATTTTAAACAAGGAAATTAGGATTTGAGCATTTGTTTTGAACCACCCGGTATATAAATAAATTTAAAATTGGAAAAACAGAAATTCGTATTTCATTATACAGTCGAAAATCTATTGGGTTGTTCGGAAAGTCATTTCGTTTTTTTTTGGGGAGAATGAAAGACAGTTTTCGTATAATGAATAAATATTTTATTAAATTATATATTGGCCATTCTGGTCCAACACCTTTTGCCATCTTTCTGGCAGTAACATAATTTCCCTCTCATAAAAGTTTTGGTCCTTGCTGGCAAAAAACTGGTTCAGGTGGTTTTTGACATCTTCATTTGAGGTAAAGGTTTTGCCATCCAAAAAATTTTGCAGGGACCGGAACAAATAGTAGTCGGAAGGCGCCAGATCTGGAGAATATGGTGGATGTTGCAGTACGTCCCATTCAAGCTGTAAAAGTTTTTGGCGAGTGACCAAACTTGTGTGAGGTCTCGCATTATCCTGGTGGAACACTACACCCTTCCTGTTGATTAATCCGGGCCTCTTCTCTTTAAGTGAATCATTCAATTTGTCCAGTTGATGACAATAGACTTCTGAATTAATCGTTGTATTGTCCCGCAAAAGCTCAAAAAAAACGATTCCTTCGACATCCCACCAAACGGAGAGCATCACCTTTTTTTGGTGAATGTTGGCTTTTGACACGCTTTGAGCCGGTTCATCTTTTCCGCTCCATGACCTCTTGCGTTTAACATTGTTGTATACAACCCATTCTTCGTCCCAGTAATAATCCGCTTCAAAAATGGATCATTTTCTTGACGTTTGAGGAGCGAATCACACACGTCAACGCGACGACACAAATTTCGCTCCGTAAGGACATGGGGCACCCACACATCGAGCTTCGAGGTTAAGCCCATGCCTTTCAAAAGGCCATAAACAGTCGAATTCGACAAATTTAATCTCTCACCGATCTCTCGTGTGGTTATTCGCCGATTTGCATCAACTAATGCCTTTATCGCATCTTTGTCAGCTTCGACCGGCCTTCCAGACCGTGGTGCATCTTCGACATCAAAATTGCCGGATCGAAATTTTGCAAACCAGTTCTGGCACCGGCGTACTGTTAACACGCCTTCTCCATACACATCCGTCAATTTTTTTCTCGCTTGGACAGCATTTTTACCTTTTCTGTAGTAAAAAAGTAAAATATGACGAAAATGCTGCTTATTGCTCTCCATCTTTAAAAGGGCACCAACCAAAAACTACTGCGTAGAATTAATAGAACTTTTTCACACACAAGCCTTGCAATATCAGCTCTCAAGACATATAATGGTTATGCGGCTTAAGTGTGAAGTCGGTTTCGAAAAAACGTAATTAAGTCCTCTGACGGGAAAAAACGAAATGACTTTCCGAACAACCTTATATAAAGCGAAATTGAAGGGACTGCTTTTTTTTTCGGTATAGGGACTTGAAAAATAACAATATGCAAATGTGTTCTGTAATATTTAATTATTTTATATGCATATTTTAACATCTACTTAGAAACATTTGTGTAAATATTTAAATACTACATTTAATGTTTCAAATAATCGGTCATTTTCTTTTGAATTTTTTTAGCATGCCAATTTCTCTAGCAGCTTAACTAAATATAGGGTTTGTTGAATGTTTGGCGGTGGTCCCAGATCAACTTCTTCATCTTCTTCTTCCTGTTGGTGCTCTTCCTTACCCTTTCTTGCTTGTTCGAATATGGCTTCCTCTGTCAAGTCTGCTGTTGTAGGCAAATCCTGATCTATCACCATAAAATCTTGCAACTCCTCACTTGTAATTGTTGTTTGAAACTGCTCTATCCACTCGCTTAGTGGCTGATCATACTGCCAGCTACTAACAGCGTTCTACGTTGTTTAGAAAGTTTTTCACCCACATATCTTTCGCTTCGAAATTTAAGAGTTTTATCTGGCGTCATTTTGTAAAAAATACCAGTTTGGTCAGCATTACAAATGTCGTCAGTAGCCCTAGTAGTACAACAAATATTGTTCGTAATACAGAGTTCCGCTATATGGAGTTTTCGCTGTATATGAAATCATCCGTAATTAAATCTATAATCTGCAAGCGGTAGTTGCATATTAACAAGAAAAAGAAAATGTTTTGATTGAAATTAATACAAAAATTTCTCCGTTTTCAGGCAGGACCGAGCATTTTTCTTTCGCCAACACCAAATACGAAATTACGTCACTGTCGCTCTCTTTCTATTCGGGACTGTTTGCGTACAACGGCTGGTAAGTTTTGAAAATTTTCCCCGATTTCCAAAACTGCCAGAAAGGTTAAAAAAATACCGAACTTCCTATTATTTAAAATATTATATTCTCGACTAACTAAAAAAACAGTTGCGAAGGTTGGGCGAGACTTTTCGAGCTTTACAGCGGTTTTATTTAATACGCTTTTGCTGACGCGCTGACGTTGCAGGAATTATCTCAACTTCGTCATCGAAGAACTGCAGGATCCCGTCAGGTTAGTGTCTCACGCCATTACAATATATAGACGGTATGACGTAATAACGCTTTTGTTCCATGGCCACCTTATCGCGGTATCCTTTTTAATTGGGAAGAATTATTCAGACCTGATTATATTCGAAAGCTGAAAGTTGATTTAGTTTGTGCCCCGGTTTAATGAAATTTCCGAAATATGTTAAATTACTGTGTTTACCATGACCATGACCAATACAACACAAAAATATTTTTTGTTTTTCAATTTTCTACTGGTAACTTATCAACTAACTCCCCCCTGTTAAATTCATCACTTAAATTAGATAAAGTAAATATTTTCGTTTCCAAAAAAAATCAGTAAAGTGGAAAAAACTTTAAATTTTTTTTTTAACCTTAGATAATAGATATATAGAGACACAAATATTCATTTAGATGTCAGCACTAGAAAAAAAAATGTTCCTTAGGAGACTAACCCAAATATATTTTAGTTTTTCTATTAATGTTCTTTTATTTGTAGTAGAAGGAAATTATTTTTATTTAAATAATAATTAATGACAGTAAGCAAAAAAAAAAAAAACGTTATTTCACCATGAAAGAAACGATTCACTTGAAAAAATAAAAAAAGCAAACTACGTCACTGGATTCTACGAAAAAAATCGTATAACAACGTTTTTTGAATTCTTAAAAAACAACGGAGATACGGGGTGGTCCCGAAATCGATGGTTTTTTGGATATCACCCTGTGTCGCAAAAACCAAGATGGCCGTGATAATTTTGTAGACGGCATCTTCAATTTCGCAGAAAAGTAGCATGGTGTGGCGCAAACCTGAACTTTCCTGCTGGCGTATTATTTTTAGCATATAAAACAATTCCCCTACAAGCCATGCGTTGAAAGGTTGGACCAAATAAAAATTAAGTGACTGAGAATCGATATGGGACCCACCAAACGAACTCGGAACTCATGGTGTGGTGTCTTGGTGACCAACGTATCTGTAGACGATGAGAGTCGGAAGGAATTGTTGCCTCGTTAATTTCTTCCTTCCCTAGAAACTTGCCCTTGGCGATCGCGATATCCTGCACCTTGGTGACGGTCGTCTACGTGCTCACCAACGTCGCGTTTTACACCACGCTGGCCCCGTGGGAGATTTTGGAATCGAAGGCAGTCGCCGTGACCTTCGCCAACAGACTGTTCGGCCCTTTCGCCATCTTCATCCCGATATTCGTGGCCCTTTCCACTTTTGGCGCAGTCAACGGGATCCTGCTCACGTCCTCGAGGTATTTAGATAAAAACCTTTTCGGATTTGCGTGAAAAACACGACCTCAACAAAACGTCAGTTTCAAGTTACAAGAAGGGACAACATTTCCAATGGTAATATTCTTGTGTTGGTGGGCCATTTATTATGGGACACCACCTTATCTCAGAAACTAGAGGGAATGAAGCCAAAAGTTAAATACAAAAGTTAATTAGGGTATTACAAAAATTCAATTTATTTTAATTTTGTATATACAGGGTGTTTCATTTTTCGTGGGCGAGAATCAACTTTCTTATTTTAAATGGCACACCTGGTATACTACTTCGTTTTGACATTTTTTATTTTTTATAAGAAAAATGACGTTTGCAATTTATTCATTCGGAAGCATTTATTGTATTACTTGAGTAAGTTTTGTTGTAGAAAAAGGACTCGAATAACGGATTTCATAAGAAATTTCTGTACATAATAATACAGGGTACGCGAAAAATAAGATTAAAAATGATGCATGGATGACATCGCAAATTTTTCAAGAGGAGTTACGAAAATGGGATGCAGAATTAAAGGAGAGGAACATATTACTTCTCAAAATTTTATGGTGATATATCAAGATTTTCCTACAAGAGCAGACTTGACAGAGGAAGCCATAATACAACAAACAAGAAAGGGTGAGGAAGAGCACCAAGATGAAGAAGAAGATGAAGGAGTTGATCTGGGACCACCACCAACCATTCAACAAGCCCTATATTCAGTTAAGCTGCTAGAGAAATTTTATATGCATCATGGGGAAGATGCCCCTCTCGAAGAGATGGTGAAAATACGAGCCAAAGTACGAAAAAAGTAGATGTTAAAATATGCATATAAAATAATTAAATATTATATACGTTGTAAATGTAATATATGTTTGTAATACCCCCATTAACTTTTGCATTTAACTTTTGGCTTCATCTCTTATAGTTTCTGAGATAAGGTAGTCACCCAAGATAAACGGCCCACCGTATACATTTAATGAATTTAATTAAAAATGTAATTAACAATAGCAAGCAGAGAAATCGCACTTAATTGAAAAACCACAGATGGTATACGTTGGTAAACTTCAAACGTCACGAGTGCCCTCCCTGATACTCGAATTTATTATTCATTTTCTTCATAAAGAAAAAGCTATAGCTTTGGACATCAGCAGTACCGATTTATCAATTGTTTTTTAACATTACAACACAGCATCTCCTAAAGCTAAACCCCAATAAATCTTCGGTAACACTTTTTGGAAATGATAGTCACTTAATGAAGCTTGGAGAGGAGGGGAGATCACATCTCCCCGTACCTTGCTGGCTCAAAAACAAAGTTTATCTTTATAGAAAAATTACTTTAAAAGTAACAATACACAATTTTAATCTATGCGGAAGACATCGACTAAAATTTATACAAAACTTCTGGATTCCCCTTGCGTCGGTTTTTGCTGAGTCGATCATCCTGTCGACTTCTTCAGAGCTTGACTGAAACTGGCTCGCATTTTATTCTGTACCTGCTTATATATTGTTTGAGGGGGGCGGACCTAAAAGGGGGCGTGTCTCAGATGGCTGATTCCTATATTAACTAGGTTTTCCTGGAAAGGGTTTTAATAAGGAAGGTAGATGTTTTGCTAGAGAACATGTTGGAGAACCAACGGTACTGGCATCAGGGGCGAGGCTTATCGTTGACCATTATTTCAATCATTTTTAATCGGTTCAATTGACGATACGTAACTTTGCAGAAGCTAAACAGTTGCACAGACATGTCAATTTGGGACAACTAACCAAAGAATTTTGCTCAGATTTTGATATTTGTTCTTGTTCGAATTAGTTTTTCATTTATAATTTTTTTTTTAAACCCAGTCTCGTCTTGATATTGGATGAAAACAAACTAATAGAGTGCGTTCTAGATTGTTCTACGCAGGCGCCTGTAACGGTCAGATGCCGGAACTTCTGACGATGATCCAGTCGAATCGATCTACCCCCACCCCATCCGTATTGATTATGGTGAGTAAGCGGTGAAACTCGATGTAGCTTATGGCAAAGCAGACCCCACAAGCATTTAGTATTAGCTTCGTTCCAACTTCAAATTACAAGTTTGAATTTGGGACTTCTGACCACCGACCGTTAAATTAGCACAATTACATCCAATTACATCATAAGATGGATAACTGTAGTTCAATTTTTTTGAATATCAAGGAGAACCGGATCATATACTCAAAAGCAAAACAAAAGGATAGGTCTCTTGTCAAATGAAACTGTTCAAAATCTAAATGTTACAATTACCAAAAAAAAAAGAAACAATGTTATGTAAGGGAGAAAGAATTTTATGGAGACAGGACCCTGTTCAAATTGTATGCAAAAAGTTTTCTATTTTTAGATTCATAATAATTTACACTTATTTTTTATTTATATGTTTTGTTAAGTTCGAGAAATTTTATTTGTTATCCAGGTTTCTACGACCCCCTTAATATAGTTTTTATTTTTTGGATTTATATTTATGAAAATACACATTTTGAAAAATCTTTGTGTGGATATTTTATTTCTCGAAATAAAATTATTGTTTTCTGGTCACTTGAATATACCACATATAAATAGTAATGAAGAATTTTAAAGGAAATTATTTATTATTATCTTACGTTTTATAAACAAATAACAAATAAACAATAAATAAAATACAGTACCAACAATTCTTCTTTACTTAAGGTGGTAAAACTGTAGAGATTTCAATCAAAACAAATTCTAACAACTTAAGATTTTGCCTATTTTTTAATGAGTTGGTGGGACTCAATTTGGCTAACCGTTATCATTCTTAAGTAAATTTAAGGACAAACTTATGCATTGACATAAAAAACATATTTTTTATTTTGTGTTTCATTTAGAAACTCTTTTCTCTTGCATTTTTTTCATCATATTTACCATGGCTTAACATTTAAAAGAAGTAGTTTGCACTACTCAAAAAATAAAATAAAAAAGGGTTTGATTGTAAAAACAATAGGAATAAAAAAGTAACTGTGTAAAATCTTCTATGAATGAATAGAAACAAAAGAAGTGTAAACATCTTATTTGTTATAACGTCAATTACAAAAAAACCAACCAAACACATCCATTTATATATTATATATTTGTTTTGGATATGCTACACTCGCATAAATTACACAATTGTCAAGTTAGGAAAGAAAAATAAATAACTATTTTTAAATATTTTATATTCATTGATCAATCTAATTCAAATGGCTATATAATATACAGCAATATATTATAAAAATCATTATAATTGCAGCAGTTAGTCTGGTAGGTATACCTTTATGGTATATATATTAACTACATAGTTTAGTAATTTTAATTTGATACCTTAAAACATATAAACAATAAATGACTAAAACCATATTATAACAATTAAAAAACTTGGCCTCTGAGTGTAACATTGCGGATCTTTTAACTGAAAATATAATTTAATTTTAATTATCAACAATTTATTCTTTTCGTGTCATTCCGTAAGTTTTGACATTCAAGACACACCGTATAAGTTAATGTTACATCGCAGGCGGCGCTGTCCATGGTCTACCTCGTGGTGTCGGATATCGACGTGCTGATCAATTACGTCGGATTCGTCACGTGGGTAAGTGCGTTACCTAGATACCACATACCAAAGACAACCGATACTTATCATATTAGTAAATTTCTTTTTCTTAAAAAACTAGGTGTATACCTATATAGGTAATATTTTCTTATAATAAAATAATATATAAATTTAGTTGTTTTAAATTCCAAAAATTCAAGTTTATAAACTAATTGAACTGAGGCGGCTTTTACTTGATGAAAAAATGTTTTTGTGAGAATTTAAGTCTAATAATGGAGAGGTATTTCAATCTCATTTGGTTAATCTCCATGGCTTCCAATAAATTTCATTTTCTACTTTTTGTGGCTGCATGTAAAATATCAAAATTGTCGAAACAATTGTCATTCGAAAATATATAATTCCGTGAACTTTTAGTTCTTATTTATTTTATTTAATGGATTTTCATCAAGTAGAAGCCAATAAAACACCGACCTTCGATCATTTTTATATAAGTTCTGTTGCATTCAAGCCATCTTTAATTGAAACGGCTGACCAATTAGAGACGTTGCGAGGTCCTCTTTGCTTTCAGTTAAGTATAGGTGTGGCGGTCCTCTGCCTGCCTTGGCTTAGGTGGACCCATCCAGAACTAGACAGACCCATCAGGGTCCACCTGTTCTGGCCGGTCGTCTACATCTTGGCCACGATATTCGTCACAGTGGTGCCGATGATCGCCAGCCCTTACGACACTGGAATGGGTATCCTGATGATCCTAACCTCGATACCGGTTTACTACGCATGCGTCGCTTGGGTCCACAAACCCGTATGGTTCCGGAAAGGTTTGAGCGACACCACGGTATTCTTCCAGAAGATGTTGGTGGTGTCAGGAAAATCACAAAAAGCCGACCTGTAATCCGCGCACGCCCTGTGTAACATACAGAACGAGTTCGAACCGAACTGAGGCAGACCAGACGAGTTAAAGATCGGAGAGGTCGAACAAATGCGGTTGGTTTGTGGTCTGCGACTTGCCTGGTCTTCCTCGGTATGACATATCTATGCGAAACACATCTGGAACGTCTTTCTGGTATACTTCAGCGAGTTTTTGTGGAATCGATGATTTAATAATAAAACAAATGGTATTTTGTAACCTCGAAATGATCTTTGTGACAATAAAACCTTACGTAAGTTGATGTCGTACAATAAATATTTGGTTGTTGTTTCGAGTGCATTCTTCGTCTTCCTATCCAGTAATTTTTTCCCACTCACTTCCTGAAAGCTGCAGTAGGTAGGCAAATGCTAATATCACATTTTCAAGTAAATAAGTAAAAAAAAAACTATTTTGGATTTTGTATTGCCAGACTGAGAAATTATTGACATTTTCAAAAGAGAGACAGATGAAAAATGTCGACAAATTTTGAGGTTAAGAAAATATTATAAATTAAAATACAATGAAATAATTCTACAGGACGAAATTTTTGATTCTGTATATCACAGTAGTTGCTACGAAGCTGTATTACAACCCACTACGTCGTCGTCTGCAACTGAGCAACAGCCAACATTAGCTGATAGCTCAATAACTGATGATATAATAGGTCTTGATAATCTTGTAAAAGACGTAAACGTTTCTGAGACAGATGAAGTCGTAAAAAAGGTATTGGCCCTGAATTAGATCAGTCGCTGGCGGAAGGACCCTCTGTAGTACCGCGAGTACTACAGAGGGTACAAAGCTTCGGATGTGAATGAAAATTTTAGCAAAAAAATACAAAGCCCATTACATTTCAACTATTTGGAAAAACGCTTACAAAAAGCAACCTTCAACCAGGATAACACATTTGCCTTTAAATGGTTCGATGGAGATCAACTTCCATCTTTTGTTAGAGACTTAATTACCAATGTCCCTGGTAAGTTAATAAAAATTAATTCTTTATCAAATATATTCGCATCAATTTAATAATTATTTATATTTCCAATTCAATGGATGAGTTGAAGAAGAGTTAACCTATGACAAAAATGACTCCGACACCTTTCAGATTTTGTTTTAAATAAATAAAAAAAATGAAATACAGATTTGAATTGTTTTTTGTTACTTGGATTATACCCCAAGATTTCAGATGAATTCTCGTTGTCATAGCATTAACTTTTAAATTGATCTTATGTATGATTTAATAAATACCCTGTACATTTTTAAAAAAAATCATCGACATTAAAGGATTTTGGCTCAAATCTCGCGCGGCTTTTGGTTCAAGGATTTTTTCGACGGTATATCCAGTTTTTAAATTTTTTAAAATACTTCCTGACCCCCCAGCCTTCCGCTTTCAATAGGATCCATTAGAGGACCAAATCTCATACACAGAGGAAGATCGCAAAAAGAAGATGGATGCAATGCCCGAACGCGGCCATTTCTTATGGGGTTATGTGTCCCGTAGGCGGTTTAAAAAGAGAAAAATCCGAGCGCACTGGCTTTAGCCGTTCGGAAGTTATTCGCGTTTTTGTGAAGTGTCGACAGAGAACAGAGAACGGACAAACAGACAAAAATGTAAACAAAATAATTTCGACGCTGATCATTTCTGTACCAATGGGTTGCCAGGCGCGATTTCATCGATTTTTCGAAAAAGAATTGAAAATTTTTAAGAGTTGAATTGTCACTTTTTTCACGTGTAATTCGAACCGTACTATACCTCGTGGAAAAACGGTGACACTGTCGTTAGGTATGCGCCGATGCGTCACATATCGTCTATTTCCCGAAAGTCGTGACGTCGTCGGCCGCAACATCAAAATCGAGCCGATTTTTCTAATCGTAAAGAAACGAATTTAAATGTGACCGCATAAATATAGAGACCAGTCCAATTCGACGAAACGCAAGTCTATTTAAACCCCACCCCATCGCCAACCGGCGTTACTAAATATAAATTTGCGTCTGAAGTGCAGATAGCCACTTATCACAACGTTGCCAGATTTGGTAGTTTGGTTGGTTAGTTAAATAAATGGATGATACCGATCGCAATCAAATAGTGGCCACTATCAAGAATCAGACAATATCCTTTATCACTTATTACTTTCGAAAAATCGGTAACGGTAGGTCCTATGGGATCGCCATTGGTACATCTTTTGGTTTTTCCTGAATAACTTTCGAACCGTTGGAGCTACAAAATTGAAATTTGCCTCCTTTTTGCCCTCCACGAAATACATAAGCCTGTAAGGAACGGCCTCGATCCAACGCCGGCATCCATCTTTTTTTCGCGATTTTCGACTGTTTTTAGAACATTGCTATGAAACACGATAAGTGTCCGAAATTTGAAGCAATCGACTTCATATTTGGCACCTATATGCAGCTTTGCCACGTGACGGAACCTATTGAAAATGGGTTGCTGAGGGGTCGGAAATTATTTTAAAAAAAATAAAAAACAAAAAAAATCATTTTTCAAAACCTGTTTAAGAGACCGAAAAAAATCTTGAACCAGAAGACGCAGAAGATACAACTCCATAAACATTTTCTTTTGACAATTTTTCAAAAATATACAGAGTGCGCCGCAAATTCAAAAAACTGAAAAATGGGTCCCCTAATATTAAAAATTAGCTATAAATGAAAGACTGTGCGCCGGATGCCAGTCCGTTTTACATTGAGAATAGTTCGCATAAACAGCTAAAACTTTTGTGTTTAAGGCTTTTACTTGTACAGGGTGTTCAACATATAATATGTGCTATATTCAAAAATTAACAAATTTGCAGCTATCGACTTCAGATTTCGCAGAAGGGTTGAAGTCCACACCCGCATTTCACCTGTTGAAAAAGGACTAACTCAAATCTGGCAAAGTATTTTTTTTAAATGTTTGAACATTTTTTTTGTTATAGTTTGTCTTCCAGAAAAAAATTATTTTCTCGACAACTATTAACCAGATCGGCAAAACTTGTGACCCAGGAAGTGAGGGAGATTCGGAACCATAACTTTTATTTCAGACCTTTTTTCCATTAAATACAGGGTTTTTCAATTTCAGACAAAAATCTAAAAGAAACTGAAAATCGTTCTTTTCACAATCAAAATTCGTGAAAACTACGGTCAATTGGTTTAAACAGTGTTACAGGCCATATTGAGAGCTACAATTTTTGTATTTACGGTTTGCGTCTATTCGAGATATTTGAAAAAAATCCAAATGAAAACTGTTTACTCTTTTGTAATAAATCGTATACCAGGAAACGTGGGAGATCCAGGGCTGTAACCTCTATTTAGAACATTGTTTGAATTATATACAGGGTGCGTCGTTTATTGGCAAAAAAATCTAAAACCTCCTAAAAATTTCCATTTTTTTGGGTAAATCATTGAGGATAAATGAAAAACTGCTAAAGATGCGATAATTTTATTTGAACAGTATCGTAAACTGCGCCGCGAGAGAGTTTCAGGTTTCGTCAATTATGCAGGGCGCGCAAGATATTCGACAAAATGTCACTCGCTATTGTTTGTTCAAATTTTAATATTTAACAAAGAATGCCGTAACTTTGACGTTTGGCGGTGAAGACTCCTTATATTACGAACAAAATTCGTAGTACTATTAGGTCTCCATACCAAGCTATGTATTAATCCACTCCGTCTAACGAATTTGTCACTCTCTATACCGAACGAGAAAAGGGCACATCAGGGATTAGATTAGATTAGATGAACAGTTGGGAGAGCTAGCAATCAGCCTGTCCGTCACTGCGACCCAGAGGATCTATTGTGACTCTCTCCATAGCTATAGAGCTTTATCCAGGTTCGTCTCTCTAACCAGACTCCACAACTTCGACAATGGCTCCCTCCCTCTCTGCCTTTGGTTTGGTATCGCCCATCAGATGGAAACGCACTCTAGCTAGGCCTTCGCAGTGGCGCAGTACGTGTGCGGCTGTTTCCTCCTCTTCCTGACAGAATCTACATTCTGTGTTTTCTTCCACTTCCATCAGGCTTAGATGCCTCTTAAGCCTGCAGTGGCCCGTCGGCAGACCTACCATTATTCTTACGCCATTCCTATTGTAGCTTAGTAGGTCCGCTGTAAAATTGGCCGATGGGCCACGGCATGTCCCTCCACCATCGTCGGGATTCTCGGTCTATCCAATCCCTGATGGCTGTTTTTGCAACGGGTTTGGCCGTTCAGGGAACAAAGTAAGGAATGTAGGCCGTCTTACCTTCTCAGAATTCCTTACCCTAATAATCTAATTACAGATAACCTGGTCGTCCTAAGTGTTTCAATCAGTTATAATTTTTATCTCTAGATGATAAAGTTGCTTTAATTCGGGAGATCGAACGGGGAGAAAAGAAAAGTGATGTGGGACGTCAATCTGGACGTGCAAAGAAAAAATCATTCACTCTGAAGCGGCAGGCAATTCTAGTAAAAAACTAAGAAAGCCAAAAAGAAGATTTGGATCGCGCAATGTTGCAGTGGTTCCAACAACAACGTCTTAAAAATGTACCACTCTCTGGAGTTATCGTAAAACTAAGAGCAGAAAAGTTTGCTGGACAGCTTGGCATTATCGATTTCAAGGCTTCGGAAGGATGGTTGGGGAAGTTCAAAAAGAGGCATGGTATAAATTATTAAAGTGGCGAAGACCGGGATGTCGACAGAAACGTCACTAAAAATTGGCTGGAGAAAACGTGACCAAAACCAGCAGAAAAGTACCCTGCTGACGACATTTTTAGTGCTGACGAAACTGGTATTTCTTACAAAATGACGCCAGATAAAACTCAGTGTTAGTAGCTGCCAATATGAGTGCTATATCTTTTTATAACAAAAAAATCAGTCTCTTCAATTTCGCTATATAGAGTTTCAACTTTAAAAAATATAATAAATAAAAATGTTAATAAAATTGAAAATTCACTGTCTCACTGTTTACTGTTACGACTTCCGCTCTCACTAATTTCTGTCCGTTTAACATTTAGCCCTATTTTTATTCGATTTTTTAAAAAATTGAAAGCAAACCATAAAGCGACAACACTGTCGCTTCTGACTCTCTGCGCTCCAGACGCCGATTTAAAAATACGCACCGGCGGCCAGTGTTTGTTTCCATCGCGTCGGTGCAGTCGTCGTCCGCCATCATGAACTCGAAACCGAATTTCCAGCGTCAGACCAGTCAAAAATCGTACGCGAAAAAATCACCAACCATCTGGGACGAATACCCGCCCCTGACTTCGTCGAAACGCGAAAGCTACGGCAGGAGGGCCTCGCAGTTCATAGCAGGACACATCAAATCGTACAAAGTGTACCGGAAGATCGCCAGGCTCAGCAGGAAATGGTTCACGCACATATTCCTCTGCGTCGTCCTGCTGCTCTACACCGCAGGAGGGGCTATAGCGTTCCTGACCGTCGAAGGACGCAACGAATCCAAGTTGATCAAGCAGGAGATCCGTCTCGAGATCAGGGAACTGCTCAGGCAGCTCAGGCTGAAGGCCCACGTCATTCCTGCTAGGTATTCGGCGGAGGAATGGGTGGGGGAGGCTTCGAGGGTGATCATGAGGTTCGAGGAGAGGATGACCGACGCGTACGACAAGCATCCCCTAGTGGTGTCCAGTCCGAATCAGGAGGTGTGGACCATATGGAATTCGATAGTTTACTGCGCGACCCTGTATACGACAATAGGTGAGGCAATTAAGGCAACGTTCCATGGCTGGAGAGTTTAACCCATATTGTCCCAAGCATGAAAAAAAAAATAAAAATTAAATTTTTTGCTCCGAAATTCGAAACACAAAAAAAAAATACTGAGATATTCGAAAAGATATCAATAAAAATTACCATTACTTAAGCAATCTTGTTTCTGTGATATATAATGCTTCAATTCGACTTTCAAACTAAATATAATAAGAATATTAAACATAAATTTGAAAAAATCCTGAGTGTGATTTCTAGCACAATTTCTTCCTTTCGTATTTGAAGTTAGAGCATCGGATTATACAAAAAGGTTATCAAAAGAGAATTTTTTGAAAAGCTCTGCGTTCACCTCTGCATCAAAACCTGTTATTCTTACAAAAATATTCGAATTTTCGAAACAAAAACGACTAGCATTTAAAAAAAAATCAACCACTTACGGAAAAAGTAGAAAATAACCTTTACTAAGAAAATCGGCCATTCTGAGTTTTTCCTTTTGTACTTATATAAAATTTCGAAGGTTTCGTTTTCTGAAAATATTAATTTTTGTTGAAAAGAAGGAAAAAATGAACACAAAAAAAATCCGAAAATAGAATGCGGATTTTGTGTATCGTAATCCGATTTTTTTGAGAAAGTATTTCGAGCAAGACCTCAAATCACCGCAAAGGAACAACCAACTTTTTTCGAAAAAAAAAAATATTTTTGAAAACTTTACCAAGTTAAAACGTTTAGAACATATGTTCATATGAAGTTTTCTTTTTAATATTGACCCAAAAATCGTCCCCTTAAATATTGACATTCAATGAGATATCACCCTGTATAAAAAGTTACCAGTGCAAATTAACCCATATTATCCCAAGCATAAAAAAAACAAAAAAATACTTTTTTGCTATGAAATTATTTATTTTATTGCACTTAAGAATACATTACAATTGTCAAAACAAAAATAAATACACAAAAGAAAGTTCAAATTCGACAGGAAACAACTAAAAGTAGAATGTTTTCGAAATAGAACCTGATTTGATACAAAAAAACGCATAATATTTTATGGCGGGTGAGCGCACCACTGGTAACACCCGGTTTCATTTTTGGTGATGTTTTACAAAGCATTAAGAATGTAAATGCACACTACACTTATTGCAAACGTAAACTGTGTGGCTGTGGCAGATTCTACATCTCCTTCGGGCTTTATTGGCATGAACCATCATGTTGGGGTATATTTACATCTTTCCGTTGTTTTCTATTACAGCGTTTTACATTTTGGACAGGATCTACACTAGAAACATTACATGCCACAGTTACAATTGAATTGTCGTGCCAACGGACAATATATTGGGTTGTTCGGAAAGTCATTTCGTTTTTTTTTGGGGAACATGAAAGACAGTTTTCGTATAATGAATAAATATTTTATTAAATTATATATTGGCCATTCTGGTCCAACACCTTTTGCCATCTTTCTGGCAGTAACATAATTCCCCTCTCATAAAAGTTTTGGTCCTTGCTGGCAAAAAACTGGTTCAGGTGGTTTTTGACATCTTCATTTGAGGTAAAGGTTTTGCCATCCAAAAAATTTTGCAGGGACCGGAACAAATAGTAGTCGGAAGGCGCCAGATCTGGAGAATATGGTGGATGTTGCGGTACGTCCCATTCAAGCTGTAAAAATTTTTGGCGAGTGACCAAACTTGTGTGAGGTCTCGCATTATCCTGGTGGAACACTACACCCTTCCTGTTCATTAATTCGGGCCTCTTCTCTTTAAATGAATCATTCAATTTGTCCAGTTGATGACAATAGACTTCTGAATTAATCGTTGTATTGTCCGGCAAAAGCTCAAAAAAAACGATTCCTTTGACATCCCACCAAACGGAGAGCATCACCTTTTTTTGGTGAATGTTGGCTTTTGACACGCTTTGAGCCGGTTCATCTTTTCTGCTCCATGACCTCTTGCGTTTAACATTGTCGTATACAACCCATTTTTCGTCCCCAGTAATAATCCGCTTCAAAAATGGATCATTTTCTTGACGTTTGAGGAGCGAATCACACACGTCAACGCGACGACACAAATTTCGCTCCGTAAGGACATGGGGCACCCACACATCGAGCTTCGAGGTTAAGCCCGTGCCCTTCAAATGGCCATAAACAGTCGAATTCGACAAATTTAATCTCTCACCGATCTCTCGTGTGGTTATTCGACGATTTGCATCAACTAATGCCTTTATCGCATCTTTGTCAGCTTCGACCGGCCTTCCAGACCGTGGTGCATCTTCGACATCAAAATTGCCGGATCGAAATTTTGCAAACCAGTTCTGGCACTGGCGTACTGTTAACACGCCTTCTCCATACACGTCCGTCAATTTTTTTCTCGCTTGGACAGCATTTTTACCTTTTCTGAAGTAAAAAAGTAAAATATGACGAAAATGCTGCTTATTGCTCTCCATATTTAAAAGGGCACCAACCAAAAACTACTGCGTAGAATTAATAGAACTTGTTCACACACAAGCCTTGCAATATCAGCTCTCAAGACATATAATGGTTATGCGGCTTAAGTGTGAAGTTGGTTTCGAAAAAACGTAATTAAGTCCTCTGACGGGAAAAAACGAAATGACTTTCCGAACAACCTTATAAATTTTTAATTCAGACTCATGAGAACGCCATCTCCAAGACCAAGGTCAGAATGAGCTTTATTTTGAGCACCACCATATGAAAGCGAATAAAATAGGTACCCATCAGATGAACAAAGGTACCAAAGTTTGAAGACAAAATGAACTAAACATTTTCCAGGTGTTTACAGGCGCTGACTTGTCTAGATTTGCTATAACAAAGTTTTGTTTCACAGATAAAAGCAGTCAATGTATGTTTTCTGCGATATAATCTACTTGCTACAGACTTAACAAAAATGCCAATACAAATCCAAAATATATTTTTTTTTTTTACTATTTTGGATTTACTTGAAAATGTGATACAAATTTATATACCGCTTTTGTTAACTTTGGAAGTCATATTAAAGATTTTTCCTATACACATATGTTTTATGTCCTTTAGTAGTGATTATAATAAAATTTCTAAATGGATGTGAAAAAAATATTTCCTTGATATGACAAAAAAAATCATAGAATTTGTGGTTCATTAGCACACCACTTGGACAGAATGGGTTAATTTCATTTTTAATTACCAGCTGGCGAGACTACCCCGTATATTACACCATTTTTCTTTTAAAAAACTTTTAGGGCATCTAAACTTTAGGGTTTATCAAAGCGGTTGAATTTGGTCAGAAATTAATGGAATCTACGTCTCGTTGCTTTAGAGACTGTTAGGGTGCAAAATTTAAAATTATTTTAAACTGGTATACAGGGTGGCTTAAAAATAACGTGCGAATTAAATGCAAAACCCCATTTTAAAATTTCACTGCTTATAAATAGTGTAAAGAAAAAATGAAATTTGTGTTTTGAATCTTAAGTTTATATTTTAGATTCTGATATACATTGAGATGCGGTTTTGGGCGGCCCTTACTTGAATATCTAGCGACTTTTTTTTTCAGACAATTGTGTTTTGTTTTGTTTTTGTATTTTCGGTTTTTCTGCTTTTTTTTTTGTTAACGGAAACTTTTTTCACGACACGTTGTTTAAGGTTACGGCCATCTTTACCCTACCACGTTCACCGGTAGGGTGTTGACTATCGCCTACTCCATAATTGGGATACCGCTCTTCCTGATCGTGCTGGCGGATTTCGGTAAACTCTTCACCAAGGCGATCAAATGGGTTTGGTCGCGTTTGAGGCGACTTTGCCAGACTGGCGGCTGCCTACGAGCCAGAAAAACCGCCCATATCCAGGTAATACTTTATTGGTTAAAATTTCGTATTTTTTAAGTACCGAATACCTAAGAGAATTAGAAAAAAATATTCACAAAACTAAAAATTCACACACACACACACACATTAAGTAGTATAGAGGGAGCAATCAAAGATGTAAATGCTCATTGAATAGTGGCTTTTTATTGTTGAGTCAAGCTTTCGCCCAAGCTTTGAGGCTTCCTCAGGACTCTAAAATGTAAAACAGAAACACTCTATCACAAAAACAAGAGAACGCACTAGGCTCGTCAATTCGTACATCAATTTGCCACCAATTAAACTCTAACAGCAGATGGGGCACAATACTCCTTGCACACATAGAGAACCACGTGTTAGCTATTAGTAAAAGCTGCACAGATTAAAATAGTAAAACAAAGAAAACTTATGCCTGGACAAGTAGTCGTTAATTAACAAGTAAAATAACCGGAAACGACAAAGAAACAACAAAAATCCGCTCAACGGCATTTAAAAAAAAGATATCTTGACGGTTGGGAAAATGGTCAGGCATATATATACTCCCTATAGCGACACTTTGAATAAGGTATTCTATCTGTGTTACGAACAAAATTTGCTGTGTTTTCTCATAATACATATATAGAGTGGATTAATACATAATATTAAATAATATAATAATAATAATTAATGTATGATTGTATGGAGACCTAGTAGTACAAGAAATTTTGTTCGTAATACACGGTTTTACGTCATAAAGGGTTTCGCTATAGGCAGTTTTCACTTTTTAATAAATATTTTCAATGAATTCACTGAATTAGTAAATTTTGAGATTATTTACTGTCTACTTCAAAAAAAGTTCTTTATTCAAGAAATATCAACAAATGGATTAATAGAAACAAAATCTGTTCCACCGTATGAAATTTTATACCTTCATTGAGTATGACAACTTGTATAGTTTTTTGGAGTTTTTTCGACGTTTGGGTAGCGCTGCCTCAAAGTCTGATGGAAGGGGACTTTACTATAGCATTTCATAGGAAATACTAAAAGGGGCGCAGATGATGTACCAAATAGCGACGTTCCGGAGGAACTCGAAGGCCCCACTCGGTGAAGAACAAGAAGCCGATGAGGAAAACCCCAAAGGTTTGGAGTTCCAAACTAGCGTCGAAGTCGACGAAAACTTCGACTTGCCCGTTACGCTGGCCCTGTTCATCCTGGTCACTTACATATTCTGCGGGGCGATCATCTACATGTACTGGGAGGAATGGGACTTCTTTTCGTCTTTTTACTTCGTCTTCATATCGATGTCGACGGTTAGTAGTACGCGGACACCAGTGACAAAAAATTGGTTAGGCTAACGAAATCGTTTAATGGATAGACAATATCTTATCGGGTCAAATTGAAATCAATCTTTTTTTTGTTTACTTTGGTATATATATTATATTATTTATATATTTGTATATTTCGCAGTTATACGGACAATGTTTTTCAAAATTGAAATTGCCACGTCATAAATTAACACTTTTACTTTTGGTTCATTTTAGTTAGTTTTGGTTAAAACAAATCAAAACTAAGCAACCAATCAGTTTTGGTTAGTTAACTAACCGAAAGTAACCGAAGCTCTTGGTAAGTTTTTACCAACTAACCAATCGGGATTCTCCGCTAGTATTCTGTTAATTTAACTAACCAATCTGGATTCTCCGCTAGTATTCTGTCAATTTAACTAACCAAAACTAACCAATCGGGGTTCTCCGCTGGTATTCTGATAATTAATGCGAATTGTGTAACGGTGACGTGGCGTCATTTTTGGTATAAATTATGGACAGATAAGTTCCGAAGCCCGTGATGTCGACAGAAACGTCACTAACGATTGGCCGGAGAAGACGTGGCCAAAACTAGCAGAAAAGTACCCTGCTGACGACATTTGTAATGCTGACGAAACTGGTATTTTTTTCAAAATAACGCCCGATAAAACTCTTAAATTTCGAGGCGAAAAGTGTGTTTTGTAGAAAGCTTTCTAAAGAACGTATGACAAGCACCCAGAATCGCCAAGACCGAAAAAAGAACGTCAAGTTCTATCAAACCTCAAGGTCTTGCTTACTGTTTTCTTCGATTATCTGGGCGTGGATCAAGAGTTCTTACCACAAGGTCGTACGGACAATAAAGAATATTACTTTGAAGTTGTGCGCCGTTTGCGAGAAGCAATACTAACTTTTCGGTCAAAAACATAACCACAATCGTGTCCCAGTTTCCAAAATTCAGAAATTGCTTGCCAAAAGTGCTTCAAGGATGAATTAATAAAACTCACCATACTTTTTGAAAATTGAACTGAGGTGGCTTTTACTTGATGAAAATCCATTTATCAAAATAAAAAAGAACTAAAAGTTCAGATTTTCACGAAATTATATATTTTGACATGATAATTGTTTCGACAACACATGACACACAAACACCGTGTAGTAGTAGTATTTTTTTTTACTTCTTGAACACACCTCACATACTGAGTCTGGTTTTATGCCGGACTGTGCCATCGCATTTCGTACCGACTACAGGGACTTTGTCTTTTTCGACTTGAATCGTAAAAATGTTTCTTGACGCAGGTGGGGTTTGGGGACTACGTGCCTCAGCAGCCGATCTGCATGATAGCCTCGATCATCTATCTATGTTTCGGCCTCGCGTTGATGTCGATGTGCATCAACGTGGTGCAGGACAAGCTCAGCGACACGTTCCAGCACGCGTCCGCCAAGATCAGCACCGGCTTGGGCATAGACGAGACCCCGACTTCGGAAAATGGCGGCGACGGAGACACTCCGAAGGTTCACACGGCGGTTATCGTTGACGGATAGGCGAGGCCGAGGTTGCCCGAACTGGCGACTGGTTGGTTCAATTATCCTGGAGCTAAGTTTCGACTGGCGCAGTCGTGGGGATCGGCCGTGCGAGACGAGCAGCCAGACAAGCCGAGTTTATGTTTAATCTGTTGTGTCGTACTACGAGAGGCGAATAACGGTGTTGACGAGAATACAATTGTTTTATTTCTATGGTCTTTTCATAGGTATAAGAAAGTGACCAATTGCTTTTGAATGGGATTATCCGAGGGTGGTCGTTAACATAAAATGCAACAATTTCGGAATTTAAATTCAGGTAAAATTGTGGTCCGTAATAGAAAATAATTTTATACCTACCTGTGTTTAATATTCATTGGTTTGATATACTACTTAGTATAAGTTTATTAGTAATCATTCACAGCGTGTGTTGAATCGTGTGCGAATTATGCAAAATATGTGCGAGTCTAGTGTATCTCAGGAGATGCTACCGCCCGAACACCATTCTATTGAGACTAAGGAAGTTATAAACAATGTTTATTTGACTCTCGTTGAACGTGGTGTCAGCAAGCAAGCATTTTTAAAAGAAAAGGCCACATTGACGAAAATTCCAACATCAACTGTACGGAAAATTGTGAATAATCCCATTTCAACGAGGAAACAAAGAAGATGAAACTGGTGTTAAATGTGACAGAACTACCTTATGGAAGTGAATTTAACACATGGCTTTATGATTTAAAAAAATTGACAAAAGGCAAGTTTTAATGGAATCTTTTAGAATTCGGAAATGGCGACTGGAATATCTAGAAAAAATTAGAATTTACAGAGAACAACAAAGGCCAATTATTTACTTGGATGAAACCTGGTTCGACACTTATGATACCCCGGAAAAGAGTTGGGTTGACTCAATTGATAAGTGTAAAACAAACGAGCCATCAAAAGACATAACGAATAACTATTTTGCATGCTGGCTCTAAAAATGGAATTTCTCTGTCTGCGAAAAATATTAAAGATTCTTCTCTGGAGTACCATGAAGACACCACCGTTGATTTATTTGAAAGTTGGTTTAAAAACAAACTAGTTCCAAACTAATAGGAAGTTAGTTGGGCAAATTCTGTTAAACATATAGAAAAAGCAGAACAATTGTATATCCATATTGCAAATAATATAGAACAAATAATAATTAGAACAGGCGATGATAGCGATAGTGATACTGATATATTATGTGAATCATTTTAAGTAATTTAAGTAAGTAATAAAAATAATTAGACAAATACATACATAAATAAATTAATATTGTTTAGTATATTGCCTAACAAAACCCCAAATAATTAAATTCTAAGCAAAGTACGGACCTGTTCGGCCATATTTGAATCTTACAGCTTGCCCGGGTGTTTCCTTAATTCGTATCGGTTAGTCACTTTCTTATAGCTATGAACAGATTTTACTGTAAAACACTTAAAACGACAAAGCAATAAATGCACTATATTTTTGGTCGTATTATAACAAACTAAAACTTTTGAGAGTAGGAGTGCATTATTATTAATAAAGAGGAGGAAGGATTTTAAAGTGAATTGACTCACCCCGTAAAGGGGTTTTATTGGCCGACGAAATTTAACCGTTAGCGTCATAAAACGAAGGCCGGTGACGTAACGCCGCGGGGTCGAAGCCCGTATAAATCAAGTAAACGGACAAAACAAAAAACATTTATTGACAATTCGGGTCCGGGTGATTTACGGCACCAACCAGTGGCGGCGCGCGAAAAGTTGTGCGAGTCACAGCGAAGATTCCAGGAACACTTTAGTCACGTCTTCGGCGTCTTTAAAGCTGACGTAACGGCTGCAGCGTGTTTGGGGGTTTGTGCAGGGTTCTTCAGGGGCCACGGCACCGAATTCGTCGCCGGACGCCTCTGCAAAAGTGACGTCAAAAAATGACGGATTCAGTATTAAGACATTGACGCCCAAATTTTTAGAAAAATGCATTTTTCTCAATTAGTAAGTGACAAATAGATCCGATTTTTCGCTAAAAACTAGTGTTTTCAATTTGATATTTTACACACAACCACAAAAACTAGAAAATTAAATTTATTGGACGCCATGGAGATTAACAAAATGAGACATTCAAATGTATTGCTTAACGATCAATTAGATTTAAATACCTCTCCCTTATTGAACTTAAATTCTCACAACAACATTAATTAACGTTTTATTGTCATTTTTCGGTATATATATATAGTAGCAGGTAGTTTGCAGAGCAAAAAAGTATTTTTTTATGCTTGGGATATTATAGGTTAAAAAGAAGAGGAGCACGGAACATAAAACAAAAACAGCTGTAAAAACTTCAATTTCTGTTCCGTGTAATGTTATTGAAAAAACGATCATCATTATTTCTCCTATTAATTTTGTGTGCCGGCATAACGGAATTGAAATTGACAAAGGCGACGCGAAAACGGTTTTAAAATAAATCCCAGTTGAACGTCACGCGTGTTTCTCCGAAAGAAGAAAAAGCCAATGCCGCCTATACGTTTTTGATAAACAGACGGATGACATTAACCGAGGGAAAAAAAACGCGTCGATGTTATTTTTCCCATTGAAACGTTTCTAAAATAAATACCGCCGCGAGCCGCAGATAAATTATCGTGTGGATCGAAGATGAAAAACGTCAATTTTCAGGGCCGTATCGGCCGAGTTCGTAGTGTCGTTTATAATAACGTGACAGCGGTTTATTTTACAGAAAGCAAATAAAACGTCGCCCGGCGTATTTTTAATTTCGTTTGCGAAGCTTAAGGCGCGTCACATGATACGCAATTCGGGTATCCGGAAAAGTGAGGTTAAGTAGTTGGAAACTCGAGAATCTTAATGAAGCTCGTCATATATTATATTTTATGTTAGGATAAAATTGATTTTTCGCGTTTTGTAAGCAACATGCACGAGGTTTCAAGTAATTGGGGCTTGTAGTTTTTGATTGCGATATTTAACGATAAGTACAATTGCAATTATATAATTAGTAAATTAAAAATAAGGAGACATATTATTACGGCGTTCAAATACCCACACCCGAGAGTTGTATTTTGAGAAAATGATATTACTTAAGAAATTGAATTGACTTGGCATTTCTTACAAGAGGAAGAAGAAGATGAAGAAGTTGATCTGGGACCACCACCAACCATTCAACAAGCCCTATATTCAGCTAAGCTGCTAGAGACATCTTTTATGTATCATGGAGAAGATGCCCCTCGCGAAGGAATGGTGAAAATACAATCCAAATACAAACCAAAAGAAAATAAACGATTATTTAAAACATTATATGTATTTCTTAAATATTTATTTATAAGGTTGTTCGGAAAATCATTTCGTTTTTTCCCGTCAGAGGACTTAATTACGTTTTTTCGAAACCAACTTCACACTTAAGCCGCATAACCGTTATATGTCTTGAGAGCTGATATTGCAAGGCTTGTGTGTGAAAAAGTTCTATTAATTCTACGCAGTAGTTTTTGGTTGGTGCCCTTTTAAATATGGAGAGCAATAAGCAGCATTTTCGTCATATTTTATTTTTTACTACAGAAAAGGTAAAAATGCTGTCCAAGCGAGAAAAAAAATGACGGATGTGTATGGAGAAGGCGTGTTAACAGTACGCCGGTGCCAGAACTGGTTTGCAAAATTTCGAGCCGGCAATTTTGATGTCGAAGATGCACCACGGTCTGGAAGGCCGGTCGAAGCTGACAAAGATGCGATAAAGGCATTAGTTGATGCAAATCGGCGAATAACCACACGAGAGATCGGTGAGAGATTAAATTTGTCGAATTCGACTGTTTATGGCCATTTGAAAGGCATGGGCTTAACCTCGAAGCTCGATGTGTGGGTGCCCCATGTCCTTACGGAGCGAAATTTGTGTCGTCGCGTTGACGTGTGTGATTCGCTCCACAAACGTCAAGAAAATGATCCATTTTTGAAGCGGATTATTACTGGGGACGAAAAATGGGTTGTATACGACAATGTTAAACGCAAGAGGTCATGGAGCAGAAAAGATGAACCGGCTCAAAGCGTGTCAAAAGCCAACATTCACCAAAAAAAGGTGATGCTCTCCGTTTGGTGGGATGTCAAAGGAATCGTTTTTTTTGAGCTTTTGCCGGACAATACAACGATTAATTCAGAAGTCTATTGTCATCAACTGGACAAATTGAATGATTCACTTAAAGAGAAGAGGCCCGAATTAATCAACAGGAAGGGTGTAGTGTTCCACCAGGATAACGCGAGACCTCACACAAGTTTGGTCACTCGCCAAAAACTTTTACAGCTTGAATGGGACGTACTGCAACATCCACCATATTCTCCAGATCTGGCGCCTTCCGACTACTATTTGTTCCGGTCCCCGCAAAATTTTTTGGATGGCAAAACCTTTACCTCAAATGAAGATGTCAAAAACCCCCTGAACCAGTTTTTTGCCAGCAAGGACCAAAACTTTTATGAGAGGGGAATTATGTTCCTGCCAGAAAGATGGCAAAAGGTGTTGGACCAGAATGGCCAATATATAATTTAATAAAATATTTATTCATTATACGAAAACTGTCTTTCATGTTCCTCAAAAGAAACGAAATGACTTTCCGAACAACCCAATAAAATTTCCTAAGTAGATGTTAAATTATGTATATAAGTGCCTATAACTACTCATAACGAAAAAAAAAGCAGTCCCATCAATTTCGCTATATTGAGTTTCAACTGTATTCGTAGCCTTCGATTTAAAAAAATTATTTCTTTTTCCGGTATACATAAAAATACAATAAATAAAATATATAATTTGGGTCAAACACTTTTTGTGTGTAAATGGCATTTAACTCACGAGTTAGATAGAGTTTCCCAAACCAAATATTTCCTAGGGGCCATTAAACCTATTCGCTTATCGTTCTGATCGGTTCTGCTATTGTTGTCTCTATTTAACTGTGTAGATTAGACAGAGAGAAATGTATTATCGGAAATGTCATATAAGTTATAAACAAAATCGTCTTTTAAGAGAGGATCAAATTTTCTAAACTTCATGCGAACTGTATGTAAAATTTCTGTGGTAAACTTAAATTATAAATGTCACTTTACTTACCGACTAGTCCAGTAGCTTAGGATTTTAATTGTCTGATATATTGCATAACATTTTGCTGTGTTACTTTTTGGGATCATTTTCGCAAAACAAAAGGAATACATAAAATCGTAAAATCTCCGAGAACATCCGATTGCTTCCGGAAATGTCCGAAGGGGCTCCGATCCGTGGGAAACGAAACTCACGTGGTTTAAGCATTTTACAGGTGAAAAAATTTGTTTTACTGCTTGACATTTCCAATTTTAAAACGGTGTACTAAGAGTTGCGTTTAAAGGTCTGTGGTTTATTGTCTCTTTGCGAAAACTATAAAACCTAACCTAAAATTCTGGCCATACCTGTGGTAGTCTTTATCGCCAGTTTCGCGTACACAGGCTGCAAACAAAAAAATAAGATAAACCGCTTCAAGAGTCGACATTCTGGCTAGGCAAGACGAAGAGCTACCTTGTGGTCTCCCATGCAAACTTCTTGACCGATCATGTCGTATCGGACATCGACATGTGGATCGACTAGCTTTTTGGCCGAGTGGCCGAGTAATATCCGGTCGCACCAAGACGGGCAACGGGTGGGCATGTACGATTTCGGTTTGAAGACGTCTTCCTCGAACGGGTAAGAGGGACTGAAAGTCACTGGGAACTCGGTGAGTGTCGCCTGGAAAGCTAGAGTCTCGAGGTCGTACGGTTTCAACTGCAAACGGTGACAATCGACAAGAAAGGAATGATAAACAATAAAGAAAATATTGTTTCCCTAAATCACAGGGTGTCCAATATGAGATTCCACATAAGTGGAATTTTGCTACAAATTCAGGTTCCTAGGCCAATATCCAACTCTTGCCAGCAAAGTTTTCTATTCAACTTGGGGAAAATAGAGACACCATTTTGCTACATAAGTGGAATTTTTCCAATAAGGTCAAAACATTTTTTTAAATTATTGAAATTTTGGGAAAAGCAGAAATTCTCCATTTAAGTGGTGATATCTACCTTATTATATAAATATTAAAACTCTTTGTCAAATGACGAACTGAAACACTTTTTTTGTCTACTATACTGCTCAAGATCGGCGGCTGATAAATAAGAACGGTGCCTAATTTGCTCACCCAATCGCAGCGCTCCTCGTCGGCCATCTTGAACTGCTTCTTGCCGACGGTTAATGCTACGTCGCCGTCGTCCTTAACGACCTGCAGCCTCGTGGAGTCGACTTTCTTATTGTTTTGCAGGCGGAGCGTCGTTGTCGACTCTTGTTCCAATTCCTGCGAGCACACGTCACCACCACAATCGCCAGATACCCCCACCACTTTTACCCGAACGACCCCTCGGGTATCGACGCGGAAGTTGAAGTCTCCGAATAGAAAGCAGGGCGTGGCTTCGTAGCTATCGGAGCGGAACCGTTCTACGACGTACCGTAGCGCCCTCTCGCGGTTACGGGCGTAAGCCGACGGGCGAGTTTCCATGGCAACGAGGTTGGACGCGTCGTGGAAGAGGTGCAGGTTTACCAGGTCGACGGAGGTGCCGTCCAGCGACCACCTGGTGCGCATAAACCCTTTCCTAGACCATTTACCCTGAAAAGAGTAGAGTTGAAGTAAGCCTGAGGAGGTTTGCGCCCGCTGCACAACCTCAGGGAAAAAATGGCGGGGAAACTTGGCCTTCTCCTTGGTGGGCACCAGCTCGATGTCGCCCGTGTGGACGTGTCGGCCGGTGACGGGCGTAAAAGCGTCGGCGTCGAAGTCGAACAGCGACGCCGACGCCAGGGACTCGTGGACGAAGTAGAAACTGGCCAGGCTCTGCACGCGGCGCAAAATATTTGAGAATTTACTGGCTCTTCCGGATACAAACAGGTTAAACCCACGACAGTGCCCTCTTGCGAATGCATGATATTATGCGAAGCGTAGTTAATAACAAAATTGCTGAAGTTTGTTGGGCGTAGTTTGTAGGAAAGAACTTCGCGATTTCGTGTGGTAAAGAGACGCATTGTTTTTTTATCATGCTCCTCACCCTGTATAAAATGTCCTTCACATCTCGTCGTCGAATTTACCCACAAAAACGGAAATTTTTAGGATATTTTAGTTTTTTTGCCCATAAACGACACACCCTGTATATGATACAATCGTTGTTTGAAGTAGAGGTTATGGCCCTGGATTTTCCACGGTAAATTTCAATTTCATAGATCAAACGGTTCCAAAGTTATCCCGGTAAAACCAAAAGACTAGAACGGAGAACGGACAACAAAAAAAAAAAACATGTTTTCCATCGATACATCAACGTTAAAACATTCTTGTGATGGAATTGATTATATTAGTGAAGGCGTGTCAGATGATTCAAAGACACTACTTAAGAAGCTTGAGAAAAGTTCACGGGAAACAAAGTTGTTCGAGGTGTTTAGGATCATCCTTTGTGGAAAATTTTTTGGGAATAAAAAATAAACAATAAATAAGTATTACGTCGCATTACCGTGAAGTTCTGGGGCACATCGAATTCCTCGTCGACGAAGATCCTCGCCCTGTCAAAAGGACGGAGTTCCTCGCTGGCGAGTAACAACTTTATGAAGTCCGAAACGTATTTCATGTTCTCGCGGTAATCCTTGCCGCCGATTTCCTGGCAGTGGAGAGCGACGAATTTGACGTCGAGACGCCCCACAGTCGCGAGCAGTTCCGCCACCCAAACGTCGAGCATCGCCTTCGGCTGAGGACAACCGGTATATCTTATAGTTAGACGATCACGTGTCGTAAGTAAAAGTGAGCCAATCATATACGCGGGGTGAGTCAGCGATTGAGTAAAGTTCATCATCTCATTGTAAGGATTGTTAGGATGCACGATTCGGAATTATTTTTTAAGTATACAGGGTGTCTCAAAAATGTGTGACGAATAAAACCTAGATTTTTTAATACGTAACACCCCCAATGTTGCAACCTATCGTAAAACTAAAAGCAGAAAAGTTTGCTGAACAGCTAGTCGTGATTGGAAAACCAACTAACCCACGATGTTTTAAAAACATCGTTTTCATTCATCATTCATCATTCATCATTCATTTATATAAAATGTTCCTAAGCAGATGTTAAAATATGTTTATCAAATAATTAAATATTACAGGACACATATGCGTATGCGACATAGTATTCTTTTGAAGGGGACAACATTAATTTTGATAAATAAGTATACGCTTTTTGATAAAACTAACCTTACTTTTTCAACACACCTCGTATAACAAAAAGCATCGGCATTTACACTTTCGTGTCGACTCGTACAAAACACCCGACCATTGTTTATCACTCGAATGCCATCTAGCGGCGCTGTGTGGATGTAAAAAACCAGCTCTGGTAGCGCGGCATTTTTGAAATCTTTAAAATTCGTTAAACGCATGTTACGGCGATTAACAACTTTGGCATTTGACAAGGAATGACGAACGAAGAAGCTGGCTTAATACTTGATATCGGAACGAGAAGCTTTCTGATTATTAGCGATAATGAGGTCGAGAGAGTGCGTACACACAATAACGCGTTTTACCACAAAACACGCTATTGTGCCGAAGGTTCCAGTCAAGAGTTTGAGAGAGTGCGTGTACAAATATTAAGTTATAAACATCAGGCTTAATATCAAACTGGCTCAATGACCACTTAAAATGACCCCAGGCATAACGTTGCTATATAGTAGGGTTGCTATATAATAGGGACACGGCAATGAAGAAGAAGTGTCAAAACATCCGCATAAAACTAACCTAAAGTAGAAGGAAGGGTTGGACATAAGTTGGGCATTTTATAAAAAAATCACACTTAAGCAGTCCGTTAATATTTTCTAAATATATGCGAGGTTAGTCAAAAAGGAGTTGAACTGAGGTGGCTTTTACTTGATGAAAATCCCTTTAACAAAATAAATAAGAACTAAAAGTTCAGATTTTCACGAAATTATATATGTTCACATGACAATTAGTTCTTCAACACCATGTCTTTATCAAATGTAATATTTACAAACTACCTGCTACTATATATACCGAAAAATGACAATAAAACCTTAATTAATGTTGTTGTGAGAATTTAAGTCCAATAAAGGAGAGGTATTTAAATCTAATTGATCGTTAAGCAATACATTTGAATGTCTCATTTTGTTAATCTCCATGGCTTCCGATAAATTTAATTTTCTACTTTTTGTGGCTGTATGTAAAATATCATATTCGTCAATGCGTTCCTTGAAGGATCAACCTGTTTATTCAATATTATTAATTTTTTTATTTTTTAAATTCTCACAACATTCATTAAGTTTTATTGTCATTTTTCGGTATATATAACGGGTGGTTAAATTGTAAGGGCCGATGTTGAATGTGACATTTCTCTATTTCAGACTTACTCAATTTGAACCATGGAGAGATACACAATCCAACAACGTGTTAAAGTTATCCAGACTTATTATGAAAATGGGCGTTCAAATCAAAATGCATATCGTGCACTTCGTGATTTTTTTGGTCAATTTGATCGTCCAAATGTGCGTACAATCGCAAAAATCGTGAAAAAATTCGAGCAAACCGGGTCTGTAGAAGATGTGAGAACACCAGTGCATGCTCGTACAGCTCGTACTGCAGAAAATATTGCTGCTGTTCGCGATAGTGTGACTGAAGAGCCGTCCACCTCAACTCGTCGTCGTGCCCAACAATTGCACCTCTCACGCTCGTCGTTGATAAACATTATGCATAAAGACTTGCATTTACACGCTTACAAGGTGCAATTGGCTCAAGAACTAAAGCCTCTTGACCATTCCAAACGTCGTGAATGGGCAGAATGGTGGCAAGAAATGGCAACAGTGGATGATCAATTTTCGAAGAAAATCATCTTCAGTGATGAGGCACATTTTCACCTCAGTGGATTCGTCAATAAACAGAATTGCCGCATTTGGGCGAATGAGAATCCAAGAGTGATTGTCGAAAAACCGATGCACCCCCAAAGAGTGACTGTTTGGTGCGGTTTATGGGCTGGCGGCATCATCGGGCCGTATTTTTTCCAAAATGAGGCCGGTCAGGCAGTTAATGTGAATGGTGTTCGCTATCGTGAGATGATAACGAACTTTTTATGGCCCGAATTGGGAGATATGGATGTGGACGACGTGTGGTTTCAGCAGGACGGTGCCACTTGCCACACAGCTAACGAAACAATGGCTCTTTTGCGCAACAAATTCAATGGTCGTGTTATCTCACATAATGGCGATGTCAATTGGCCGCCAAGATCATGTGATTTGACACCGTTGGACCTTTTTCTTTGGGGTTATTTGAAAGAAAAGGTGTACGTCTACAAGAGCTAAAGGATGAGATAATTCGGCACATTAACGGCATAGAACCTCCATTATGCCTCAGGGTCATCGAAAATTTGGACCATCGGATGGAGGTGTGCCGCCGTGGTCGCGGCGCCCATTTGGCCGATATTTTATTCCATACATAATTGAGTAATACCAATATATCATAATAAAATAAAATTACAATAATTTCCTAAATAGTTGGTTTTTTATTCAAAATCAACTTCGGCCCTTGAAATTTAACCACCCGTTAGTAGCAGGTAGTTTGTAAATATTACATTTGATAAAACAATTGTCATGTGAATACATATAATATATTCTAATAACATATTCTAATATTTTAAACAAGTCCTTTAGGTCATTGGGTTTCATAACAAACGGTAACAACTTCGAGATCAATGTAGACTCTATAACGCACTGGCGAAAGGAACCAGAAGTCGTAGTTGCGAAAATTCCAGTTAGTTACACACGCATATGGAACTCTGATAACGTCATGCTATATATGTCGAAGAGAACCAAACTTTAGCTATGAATATGCGCTTACTTACGTCTTCGAACAGCGAACCGACATTAGCAGTTATCAGCAACACTGGGATGGACTTCAACTCCATAATCCGAAGTAGACGGCTGTAAATGGTGATTCGTTAGTAATTTGGAATTGTATTAAAGTGTGACTAGTCGCTGATTTTCCGGTATTCATTGATATAAGAAACTGACCAATTGCTTTTGAATGGGATTATCCAAGGGTGGTCATTAACATACAATGCAACAAGATTATTACCTAAAGTTTCGGAATTTAAATTCACATTAACTTGTGGTCCGTAATAGAACATAAGTTTATACCTACCTGTGTTTAATATTCTTTGGTTTGGTATACTACTTAGTTTAAGTTTATTAGTAATCATTCTAATTTCGTGTGTAACAGAGCGCGTGTTGAATCGTGTGCGAATTATGCGAAATATGTGCGAGTCTAGTGTATATCAGAAGATGCTCCCGCCCAAATGTAGAAAACACTATTCTATTGGGACTGAGGAAGTAATAAACAATGTTTATTTGACTCTCATTGAGCGTGGTGCCAGCAAGCAAGCATCTTTAGAAGAAACGGTCACATCGACGAAAATTCCAACACCAACTGTATGGAAAATTGAAGAAAAGAAGAAGCGATACTGACATTTTCTCGAATGTAAATGAAAGTGATCAAGATATAATACGGCGTAAACTTTACCACTTATCCGACACAAAGTGTGCCTACATTAGATATCTTAATTAGGAGGCTTGAAAAAGATGAAACCGGTGTTAAATGTGGCAGAACTTCCTTATGGAAGTGTATTCAACACATGGGTTTTAGATTTAAAAAAATTGATAAAAGGCAAGTTTTAATGGTATCTTTTAGAATTCGGAAATGGCGACTGGAATATCTAGAAAAAATTAGGATTTACAGAGAACAACAAAGGCCAATTATTTACTTGGATAAAACCTGGTTCGACACTTATGATACCCCGGAAAAGGGTTGGGTTGGCTCAACTGATAAGTGTAAAACAAACGCGCCATCAAAAAGAGGTAAAAGAAGGATTTTGCATGCTGTCCCTAAAGATGGTTGGATTCCAAATGGACTTTCTCTGCCTGCGAAAAATATTAAAGATTCTTCTCTGGATTACCATGAAGACATCACCGCTGATTTATTTGAAACTTGCTTTAAAAAAAAATTGTTCCAAACATTCTTCCTAATAGAGTAATTGTAATGGACAATGCAAGTTATCACAGTAGACAGTTGACTAAAACCCATTCCTCATGTGACACAAAGCAACAATCCAAAACTACACTATAATAACGACATTTATTTTCACGAAGATTATACCAAAAAGCAATTAATTGAGGTTCTACAAAGCTTGAACCTGCGAAAGGAATACGTCCGTGCTAATTATGCAAAAAATCAAGGGTATACAGTTTTAAGGCTTCCACCTTACTCCTGTATATTTAATCCCATTAAACATGTTTGGCACCAACTGACATCTGGCATTCCTCGTAACCATGTTTTTCACCGTGTTAACTCCAATGTCCTCACACTTATAGAAACCGAAGTTTTTAACATCACTCCACAAAGTTGGGCAAATTCTGTTAAACATATAGAAAAAACAGAACAATCGTATATCCCTATTGCAAATAATATAGAACAAATCATAATTAGAACATGCGATGATAGCGATAGTGATACTGATATATTATGTGAATAATTTTAAGAAATTTAAGTAGGTAATAAAAATGATTTGTAATTGTTTAAATATTGTTTAGTATCTTTCCTAACAAAACCCCAAATAATTAAATTCTAAGCAAAGTACGGACCTGTTCGGCCATATTTCATTCTCACTTTTCCTTAATTCGTATCAGTTAGTCACTTTCTTATATCTATGAACAGACTTTAAGAAAATCTTGGAGGGATTGTTAACCATAAGGCTAAACATAATAATGTTTTTGGTTTTAGATAGAAGGTGTACAGAGCTTTCTTGTCAAAGGCTTCCACAAATATATTCGCGACGACTGGTGAAAATTATAATGTTCATGCACTTCTGAAGAATTTTGTATCAGTTGCTAATAAAAAAGGGTTAAGCTGAAAACTCCCTATAGAATTAAAGGAGAGGAAAATATTACTTCCCTTAGATAACTGCCCTGGACATCCCCATATTCCAGATCAACGGAATATTGAATTGGCATTTCTTACAGCCAAAACAACAAGTGTCAGTCGATGGACCAGAGTGTAATAAAAAGTCTTAAGAGTCGATACAGGAAAAACATTTTTATGGAAGACAAATTTTCCATTAATATGCAAGATGCAGTCAACTTTATTAGTAAAGCTTGGAAAGAGGTGACAGCAGAAACAATTCAATGAACATTTGCAAGATTTTATGGTAATAGATCAGGATTTGCCTACAACAGCAGAAGCCATATTACAGCAAGCAAGAAAGGGTGAGAAAGAGCACCAAGAGGAAGAAGAAGATGAAGACGTTGATCTGGGACCACCACCAATAGGGAAGATGTCCCTCTCGAAGAAATGGTGAAAATACAAGCCAAAGTACGAGATGCATATTGGCATATTAAAAAAATTCAAAAGAAAATGACCGATTATTTGAAACATTAAATGTAGTTCTTAAATATTTACATAAAATGTTCCTAAGTAGATGTTAATACATAGATGTATATAAAATAATTAAATTATTATGATTTTATATCTTAGAGTTAAGTTAGCAATGTCTATTTTGTATTCTGTGCCTTTTGATTGCGGTCTGTGTTTTGTTTTAGACCAAAAACTAAGAGGAACAACAGAAGAATGATAGAACTGTGGTGGTGGTGCACATGTTTTAGTAATAAAGATTCGGTTAGAAGAATTCCGTTTTATCATTTTTAACATGGTAGCAGAAGTCCGTGGTTGTAGAAAAATCAAAAAGCGAGAAAACAGACTAAGTAAAAGAAAAGAGAGGTAACATGGCTACTGAACAGAAAGGCGAACTCATCTTGCACATGTTTGATGTATCGGGGTATGACAAATGGAAATTTCGACTTATGTTGCTGCTGCAAATGAAGGATTGTGAAGATGTAATTAACAGGTAAGAAAGACCTGAAAAAATCATCGAACTGGAATGGAACAAAAAGGTATTTTGGAGGAATTAGGTATTGAAAAAATTAAAATTTATGAAGACAACACAAGAGCAATAAATCTTGCAAAACATGGCAAATTTTCAAAGAATTCAAAACACGTTGATGTATGTTATCATTTTATTAACGATTTTTACAAAATGGTCTAATTGATGTCGTCAAAGTAAGCACTGATGATCAACTCGCGGATATACTTACAAAATCACTTAGAAAAGAAAAATTTCAAAAACTGCGCACTCGGATATCGCTAAGATCAGTAAACAACAATTAAAAATAACGAATGTGTTTGGCAATTAATGAATCTTCTTTTTTACGATACAAAATCAAGGAGGTATGTTCAATTATGATTTTATATCTTAGAGTTAAAGTTAGCAATGTCTATTTTGTATTCTGTGCCTTTTGGTTGTGGTCTGTGTTTTATTTTAGACCAGAAAGTAAGAGGAACAACAGAAGAATGATGGAACTGTGGTGGTGGTGCACATGTTTCAGTAATAAATATTCAGTTAGAATTCCGTTTTTTTATCATTTTTAACATTAAATATTACAGAACACATATGCGTATTGTCCCTTCAATTTCGCTATATAGAGTTTCGACTGTATATCTAACTTAAAACCAGCAAAAATTCAATATAAAATTGTGAACATTTAAATAGAGCATTTTTTTTTTTAAAAACGCAGAAGCTGTGTTCTAATCTTCTTGGTGTTTATCGCTTCTAAGTACGTCACTGTCGATGCGCGATACGATCGGCGCAAAGACTGACAGCTGTTCGTTTGGTAAGCCGTGGCTACGCTGCACAAACGGACCAATAAAATCCCCGCATCGTTGGGACACAACATCAAACTCACCCAAAAGAAACCTAACCTATTCTGAAACGCGAAGAGCGCATAATTTCGCTGCTTTTCCTCCCGACATCAGCCTCCTCGAGATCACGAACGACTGATCACGCGGCCAAGCATCGCTCGAAGCACAGGCTCGATCGATAAGCGCGCGCTCTACGTCACGGGGAACTCGGCATTCTATTGGTTACGATTTCGGCGGTCGATTCGAACGCAACCGGCGGAACATTTCAACCCCCGCAAGAAACGAGCCTAAAAATAAACGTTTTACTATAACGGTTAAATCGGAAGAGTTGCCTTTTTGAAAATTATCCCGCGGCGTTGTCAGATTAGCCCGGATATCTGGGTGGTTTGCATAGGCAAAGTCTGTTCATAGATATAAGAAAGTGACTAACTGATACGAATTAAGGAAAGACCCGGGCAAGCTGTAAGAATGAAATTTGGCCGAACAGGTCCGTACTTTGCTTAGAATTTATTTATTTGGGGTTTCGTCTTTTTGTTTACCTTGATATCTATAAAAACAAAAAAGGTTGCGGCCAATTAAAATGTTATCAAGATAAATTGAAAGCACGGTACCGTTCCCGCTTCGCTCGCGTCGCATTTACGTCAACAAGGCGCGCGGTTACCGGGCAACCCTTAGAATCTAGTAACAGCGACAACGCCGCGATCGCAGCGCCGCCACGCGGCTGCCGACGCGACTCCTTCGTCCGCGGCCTTTTGGGGCAGCCCGCGCGCGCGCGCCACCCCCCGAAAAAGGGTCACGGCACGCGAAAAACCGATCGATAGGGCGACGATTCGGAATCCGTCGCGACGACGGGCCAGGTAAAAGCGGAAGACACCCTCGCCTCGTCGCCGATCGCCGCGCAGAGAGTAGGCCGTGGCTCCATCGCGTGCCGCGTCATCTGTCATTTCGGCGTACGTACGGCGAAATTTCCGATCCCCGTCGATAACGGCGAAGATGAACGCTGGGCGCAGGCCGCGTTGTCGAAAACGGGTCGCTTAGTGCGCGCGGCAGTTCGATTAGTCGGCCGCGGACGATCCGTTCCATTACGTCGGAGTTTTGATGTGCGTGTGTGCGGTGTTCTGTGTTTTGCGAATATACGCGGCGGCGAAGAATGACAAATGACGATCGTCGTTGACCGCTCTCCGTGGTTGCGTTGCGTAACGACCCCGAATTGCGTCGATTAATTGTCTGAGGCGGCACGATGTCGATCCGCCGGGTCTGTTGAGGACCGTCGCCGCGTTTGTTGTTTTGTTTTTTTTTTTTGGCGTTTCGGGATGCGGCGGCGAAGGCCTCGACGTTATCTTTACGACGGACCATAATTTAAGGTAAGCGGTTTATCGGCGGTGGGTTTTATTAAAAAATTAGCCGGCGGGACGCGAGAGTTCCCGTAGCCCGGTCGGTTTGGGGGAACCGGGACTCCCGTCCCGCGCCATCTTCCGGCAGAGAGTTTCGACCCGTCGAAATCGGGAGGTTTCGGGGAAAAAACTTATTAATCTTTCCGATTATCGATTCGGGTATTTTTTTACCCCCCCTAAACGTTTTCGGCGTACGTGAAACATCAACGACGTAATTAATAACTGAACTTCGACGTGGGGACATTTCGGCTGTTGGTGACGTCACGACGTACGTTGACAGAATTTTTGTTTGTTATCGCATTATTCGCGTCCGATTTTTGCATACCTGGGGAAATGCTGAGGAGTTTGCGTACCAAATTTGTTTCTATTTGAGCTCACCATATACATATCTGGTAAAAAAAACAACTTTACTCAAAATAACGCTGTTAACGCCAGGTCACCCTGTATAACAGGGCTGCAAGTATTCAATCGTTTTCCTGATGAAATAAAATGTATGGTCTGTTCATAGATATAAGAAAGTCACCAATTGCTTTTGTGCGTGTTTAATATTCTTTGGTTTGGTATATTACTTAGTTTAAGTTTATTAGTAATCATTCTTATTTCGTGTGTAATAGAGCGCGTGTTGAATCGTGTGCGAATTATGCGAAATATGTGCGAGTCTAGTGTATCTCACGAGATGCTCCCGCCCAAATGCAGAAAACACTATTCTATTGAGACTAAGGAAGTTATAAACAATTTTTACTTGACTCTCATTGAACGTGGGGAAAGCAAGCTAGAATCTTTAGAAGAAAGAAGAAACGGCCACATTGACGAAAATTCCAACATTAACTGTATGGAAAATTGTGAATAATCCCATTTCAGCGAGGAAAAAAAGAAACGATGCGAGTGTAGATGAAAGTGATCAAGATATAATACGGTGTAAAATTTACCAGTTATACGAGGAACAAAGCGTGCCTACATTAGATATCTTAATTAGGAGGCTTGAAAAAGACGAGACCGGTGTTAAATGTGGCAGGACTACCTTATGGAAGTGTATTCAACACACACGTTTTAGATTTAAAAAAATTGACAAAAGGCAAGTTTTAATGCAATCTTTCAGAATTCGGAAATGGCGACTGGAATATCTAGAAAAAATTAGGATTTACAGAGAACAACAAAGGCCAATTATTTACTTGGATGAAACCTGGTTCGACACTTATGATACCCCGGAAAAGGGTTGGGTTAACTCAACTGATAAGTGGAAAACAAACGCGCCATCAAAAAGAGGTAAAAGAATAACTATTTTGCATGCTGGCTCTAAAGATGGTTGGATTCCAAATGGACTTTCTCTGACTGCGAAAAATATTAAAGATTCTTCTCTGGATTACCATGAAGACACCACCGCTGATTTATTTGAAAGTTGGTTTAAAAACAAACTAGTCCCAAACATTCCTCCTAATAGCGTAATTGTAATGGACAATGCAAGTTATCACAGTAGACAGTTGACTAAAACCCCTTCCTCATGTGACACAAAAGCAACAATCCAAAGCTACGTGTATAATAACGACATTTATTTTCACGAAGATTATACCAAAAAGCAATTAATTGAGGTTCTACAAAACTTAAACCTACAAAAGGAATACGTCTGAACTTGAACATGTTTGGCACCAACTGAAATCTGCCATTCGTCGTAACAATGTTTTTCCTCGTGTTAACTCCAATGTCCTCAAACTTATAGAAGCCGAAGTTTTTAACATTCCTCCACAAAGTAATTAGCCCTCAGTTTCAGGATAGTCGCTGTAGCGATGATGTGTTTACAGCGAAGTGTTTTTTCCTTCCAAGTTTGTATTTCCTGATGTAGTGTTGATGTCGTATCGGTTACTATTAGCATCCCTGAGTTGAATGGTGTGAAGTTTTTATCAGCATGTCTTATAGACTAGACGACACGGTCTGTGGATGTTAACAATTTTAGAGAGCTGGTTTCTGCAAGTTTTGCTTATATTTAGAAGTCCCCTGTCATGTTCTTTTCTAGGGATATAAAGCTGTGATGTTGGTGAGTTGGCGTGTAATCTAAATTTTGTTAACATCTATCTAAGTCTTCTAAGTCAGTATAGGACCATTTAACTATTAGTTTGGTGTTGAACACTGTAGTCATCCTTTTTTAGCATTTTTCAGTGAACCGCGATAGTTGGGAATGGTCTACTTTCATGTTTTGTGGTATACCAAGATAGTTCTGTGATACCTTCGAAAGATTCTTCTTCTTCACCTGATGGTTCAAGTTTTCCTTTCTTGACTCCTATCGACATCTTAATGTCGCCACTGAATGAGACTGTTCAGTTTTGATCGATTTTCTGCATACGTCATCCATCATTAACAAAAAAATAAAGTTAACCATAAATTTTTTATGTTAACAAAATACATTTATTAACCAAAAAAATAGCTCCATTTGTCTATCGGATTATTTCTATAATTTTTTTTTTACAAATATATGAAAAACTGTCATTTATGATGACGTTTTTGTAATATTTAAAACTAACGTGAAAAAAATAAAGAAAAGTTAACAATTTGTTTATACAAAATTGTTAATGTAATAAACAATGAAATTGTTATCGAAAAAAAAAACAATTTTGCTTGTTAATTTGTAGAGGACTGTCAATTATGATTTTAAAAAATGATAAAAGAGAAAAACGTTTATAAAAATAAAAAATTATTATTAAGAGGAAGTAAGTTGTCGGCATTTTAACAAACACCGGACAGACAGACACAATTAGATAGATAGATATACAGATCGTTAGTTATTTCCCACAATACCATATATTGATATATTCGGAAGGGACCTTGGAGTTGATGATGATCGGAGTTCCGGTGAAATTGGCATCTCTGTGTCATGGTCGCCGGCGAGTACGTTACCGTCCAATTCAACTTGCGTTTATCATAATTAACGCTAATGCGAGAATGTGTACGACGTCAAATAGTCCGGTGGTATCCGACGAAAATAAAATAATCGCTTGCCAAAAAACAAAACAGATAAAAAGAATATTTCTATTAGACTGAATTACAATACATACATGTTCGAAGTGTTTTCGGAGCGCGAGCAATGAAGATGGCAAGTGAGATCTCGGCGAAACGTCTGCAGGATTCCAGTCGGAGTTCAACAAACGAACGGATGATGTCCCGGAATATATTTTTCCATCCGTGAATCAATACGTGAAAAAATATATATATATTTTTCTTTTAGTATTAGTAAGCGAACATGAGCGCAACTAAATGATAATATGTCCAATTCCTGGTTTAAGGGAATAAACGCAAAATTGGCAACGCCGCAGATGTTTACGCTAGTGTTTACCAACAATACGGTGCCTGATTTTGTTTGCTGTAAACATTGCCCGCTTTTCCTATGGTATATTTTTGTGTACACAACGAACGCGATAAAAATAATAGCGATTTTACGACGTTTGCACAAGTTCCGGTAAAGCTTAGTAATTTAACGGACCGGACAATCCAAAAGGGTGTAGGAAAAAATTTCAAACTTTTGCTGCCGTAATTCGGAGGTATGACATATAAAATAAAAATAAAAAAAGTTGGACTTGTTCAGAATCTCGCGCCTCATTGTTAGATTTCTGGATCGACACTCGTTATCTTATTCGTAATTTTAATAGTAATAAATAAATATATATTCAATTAGCTAATAAATAAATTGAATAAAAAAAAAACAACCCTTTTTCTTTGCATTCTCTCTATATATAAGATTTGATAAGACAAGATTTGTTGCTCTTTTAAATTTGAAATATTGTTGCCATTGTTTACTTTTTCTTTCTATGCTCTTGTTTAATTATTTTTCCTTTTTCTCTATGTTTTGTGTTGGTATTAACTATGCTTTGCGTATTATTATGTGCTTTTATTGTAATTTTTAAGAAGACACAGTCGTGAGTTTAATCTGTTGTGACCCAAAGAGCATATAAATAAATAGATAATAGAATAATTCCATATTATATTTATCAATACAATAAAATTGAAAAAAGGGAAGGAAAACCTTTTTCTGTGCCTTTTTTTTTCTATGCTTTTGTTTAGTTATTTTGTAGAATCTTGAAATATTTATTTTTAACGCATTTTCGAATAAGTAGAAGCGTTTATTGTAACATCAGGTGATATATATTGTTTTTAAGAGTTTAATCTTAATTCTCGAGCTTTGACCCTGGGAGACTAGATAGTTCAAAGGGTAAGGGTAAGAACTGTACTCTATTTATCTTACAGGTAAGTTTGAAAATAATCATTTTTGTCTTGTGTGCGCGTCGATTAACAACATTCTTCTTCTTGTATCTTTGTATCTTCTACATAGTTTTTTTTAAAGACTATATACTAATATAATACAGATAAATGTTTATTAGAATCTTCCAATTAAACAGTTTTTGAAGGTTCCTCTTTGTTATCACTTTAAAATGTGGAAGCCGTGGACCGAATCAAATTTTCCGCTGTTAGAAGAAGACTTGGAATAAGTGGAGACGGTAGTCGAACCTAATGACGATGTGGATGACGAACTACCTCAACAAATAGATGCTAAACATATTGCTTTGAATGTTTACAATTTTACAAGAAATTCGAAAGAGGAAGTAGGAGTAGCAAATTAAAAAACAAGTAACATAGAACGTAATAAAGATTGAAAACATATTTATATCCCGCATTTTTCGCTTACTTGCCATGCTCGCCGTATTCACTAAGTCATTCCTGACTTTGTTGCCTGATCTGCCTTTATTTCGGGACTCCATGGGAACCAGCCCTAACCAGTATTCCCCTATTAAGGGTTAGGTGTAAGAAGGGTCATCCCGTTTCTTGACTTGCCCCGCCGTATTATTTACGTTATTTTTAAAATAGGCGACCCTATCGGGGCCGCACTATAGCCCATGGAAAATCGCAATTTTTTCGGGATTAAAAATCCATTACGCCCACCGAAGGGTAACCCACTTTTTTCCGCGAATTCGCAAGTCAAAGAG